GCAGAACTAAATGGTATCGGACTCCCTTTCCGGAGGTGCGATCGGGGACAGCGGGGCTTGGATTGCCGGCTGGACGCCGCGAAGCGGCGTGTACTGGTTACGCTTTTTAATTAGCAGCCGATACTGTCGCCGCGAAGCGGCGTGAACGCAGGCGGGGGGCTGTGTTAACGAGCGCCCCAGTGATTCACGCGCCGTTCGAAAAGGGTGGCCCGAGCGGCATGATCTCTGGGAGGAGTGCGTATAGCCATTTCCGCGCGAAGCGCACTCCGGAGTGCGTATAGCTTTACTCAGCATAAAAACAGCAGGTCTAGGACAAAAATCCGGAGTCCACTGTTCAAATAAAACGACGCAATTTTGTTGAAAACGCCCGCAGCTTTTTACTCACGGTATGCGTCGAGAATCTTTCACATTCTGAAACGGAACGAAGGAAGATTTACTTTTAAAAGCGCTCGCTGTGTCCTCCCGGACCAACTGGACCGGATCAGCTGATGACGACGGGGCTGAACCCGTTGAATTTCAACCCCACAATAACCAATTTGCGCTTCGTGTTAGTATGGGCTTTTACCTCCAAGCACCGCACCACACACCACGAACGTTTCAACTCTTTGTCGCATCGCCGTGTTGCACCAAACAGAACGAGATCGGCGAAGCCAGCGGAGCGCTGTCATGAACCTTGGCTTGTGGTTACGCAGTCGTGGACCCTCTGACTTTCTTCGCTTTCAAAGCACACACGACGATTACGAATGATACTTTCCGTCTTCCGGGAACATCACAGGGGCACTTCTCCGGTCACGTCGTCGCTACATGTGCTCGCAAACCGCGTCGCTACATGTGCTCGCAAACCGCGTCAAACCGGCAATGGCCAGGCGGCGGCCAGTTTGCCCGTCGGGCCGTTGCGAGCGGCGGCGACCCCGATTTCAGCAGTCCCCGTGTGCACCTGCGTGCCATGTCCCTGGTTCTTTTATGCTGTTTCTTAAGACTATCGGAAGCTTTGATAGGTCCAAGTGTTGAGAGAAAATTCTAGAGTCGTCATTTGGACACCAGTTTGAGTGGTCTTCACTACTTGTGGCCGCCCGATCGGTCTGTGCTTCGCTCGTCTCCCATAAAGTGACACAACACAACGAGAAGGCAGCGAATGGGTTTATTGTACATCCCGGTTGCCCGGCTTCGAGAGCCGGCAGTTCGGACCCGCCGACCCTAGTTGTCGCCCGTCGTTCAGAGCTCACAGTCGGAGCCCGTGTCCCAGGCCTGCGGATCGCCCTTCCCACGCCAGTGCTGCGTAGGCTAGCTGTTCCGGTCTATCACAACCAGTCTCGCTGCGGAACCACTCCGGGATCGTCATGAAGGCCAGTATGGTCAGGGTTCGCCGCTTCCGCCGGTCCTGATCCGAACTTCGCTAGTGGAATGCTCCCGGGAATCTCAATGGGCCAGACCAGCCAGAACGGCTCTATTGTTCCTGCCCGGCCCCAGCCTCGGGCAGCACGCTCATCCTCTTTCCTCGCCGGCTGGCCCCCGATCGCGCCTCGCTCGGCCGTCCTCTCCTCCCGACGCCCACACACACTAGAATAAAATTTGGGTAATTAGAACCAAACTCTGCATGCTACAGAACCGTACGCACATTGCAAAGCCTGGTGTAAAATGGCGACAGGCAACGAAGTGTACAGTGCGCCTCAAACTTAACGCCGCCACGAGATGGTCCGGTTTCTTCACTGGATGGATGGATGAATACGGCTGAGCCCTTTGGATCGGGCGGTAGCTTACGCCACCTAGCCATTTTGTTTTACCATTTAAGCTTAGAATATTTAAATGTGAAATCTATATTCACTCCGCAGTGCAAAGAAAGTGAGGCTATGAAACCCCCTTGCCATCAGTGATTAAGAAAATACCTAGTTTTCTCTCGATTTCTGCCACCATTCACTTAATCTTTGCTTGGTAATCTCTACAGTCTTGAAATCCACTCTCCCTTCGCTGTCTCTAAAACCCAATGACTTTATTAAATCTATGTTGTCTTCGGTAGGCATAGGGTGAAGCCCTTTACAGTAGAGTATCAAGTGCTCAGCCGTCTCGTCCTCCTCTCCACAAGCAGTGCACACTGTATCAATTTCCTGGTACTTCACTCTGTATGTTCTGGTTCGCAGAACACCCGTTCTTGCCTCAAACAGCAATGAGCTTCCCCTAGAATTGTCATAAATGCTTTCTTTGGCAATAACTCTTTTGTTTAATCTATAGCTTTCCAGAGCAGTCTTTGTCTGCATTCCCTCTAGCCACCGATCTCTTTCTGTGGCCTTAACTTTCTTCTTAACTGAGACTTGCTCTTCCGTATCTTCGCTATAGCCCAAAAACCTTCCTCTTAATTTCCTAGTGCGCTGTCTCCACTTTGTGTCTACACTCCTCATGTATAAATAGCTGAAAACCTTTCGTGCCCATTGCTCCCCATCCATTAGCCTCAACCTATCCTCAAATTCTACCTTGCTCACCGCTTCCCTGCTCTCAAATGATGCCCATCCCATGTCTCCTTGTACTCCCTGGTTTGGCGTTTTGATCACTTTTTGAGCTATTCCTAAACCTAGCGGTCGAAATAGTTGGTTAAGATTTGTGTCGCCGATGAAAACCCACCCAGAGGAAGGTAATCGAGCAGCTGCAGCGATCAATTTATCTTTTAGTAGCATGCAATAGATCAATATTCGCGAAACTGAGCGGCGGCGTTAAGTTTGAGGGGCACTGTACGTGTAAGAGGGATATATTTACCGCTTCGCACGAGATTTTTCTAAAGAAAAACTTTAGCATTCCGCTTTTTGCACGCCGTCACTTTTGTTACCAGACTCATAAATTTGGTTGCTGAAACAAACAAAACTTTGTACTGCGAAAATCCACCTTTTGAAAACTCTCAGGTTTAGAAGGTTTTGGTTGCAACCACGCGTGCCGAACGGCATTAGGAGTGCCGGAACTGGCCGACGGGCCTTTCGCTTGAAGACCTGATCGCCCGATTCTCGACGTCACAGCGAAGCAACAATCGGCCCGATTGTTCCTATCGTATTTCCCTATAATGTGGCTGTCAAAGCGACTCGTAATACAACTTGTATAAATATGTCATTTTGCCGAGTAGTCTGCAAAATGAGTTCGTCCGACCAGTTTCCAAGCCTGCACATATATTTTCGTTCACTTCCCCACCCCCAACAGTTTCTGTAAAATTCACTTAATTGTTGCGTCGCACTGCAGTAATCCACTTCTGTCGCCGTGTCGCTTCCCAAGATCTCGAAGGGAAGCTGGGAAGCTGAGGATGCGGTGAAGTTCGACGCTTGAGTCACCTTCGCGACTGTGGCCGTCTTTCATGCAGCAGTAGCAACGTTTATTTTTTGGGGGAACTCTAGGAGTAGGCGAGATGTCGCAGACGTGAAGTTGGGACTCACTTTTACAAAAAACGGTTCCAAAAAAAGCTCACGCCGATCCGAAATAAACGTTCACACGTGGTTTCTGCATGCGCCCGCCCGCAGCCCCGCGTAGTCCTGGCCTACCCAGTTTCATTATTTTGCAGCCGCTAGATGGCGTAACGTGTAGCGCCAATCTGTTGAACGTGCGTTGTTGCTAGATTTTCTCCGACCAAACAAAAACAACGATAGCAAACCGGCTCTAGCTTCCAGCGTACATCGGCGTTGCGCCGTGGCCAGATTTTCTCCGTCAGCTCTAACTTAAAGATGACCTACAGATGCAGCAACACTGGTATCAAGTTTTAACATGGCGGCCCCCTCGTAGCGCCGTAAATTCTGAGGAGGGTGCATTGGAAGCAACAAGGTTGGAAGCAGCGGCACCTTCCCCCCCCCCCCCCCCCCCCCCCCCCCCCCCCCCCCCCTGCCCCGCTTCGAGCCCATTGCGCGATTGACCATTTACCGGTTCCGCGGAAGCGTTGTCAAGGCGGCGGTTGTCTCTGTTGTCACATGACCTACACACGGTAACCATGGTAACTGTCTAGGCTTGACAGCGCTAGAGCATATCTCGTAAGATGGCCGACGGTGGCTTCATTTTCGGTGCGGGGAAGCGCGATCCAGCAATTGTCACAGAGATCAGTGTACCCAACCATCAAAGAGAATGCAGGGATTGGTGTTCCACGCGCCGCATGTGCTGGCCTCAGAAGTAGTAACTTTTCTAAAGAAAATACCCAAAACAAATGGCATCTTGCATGCGCGTTTGTCAACGCTTTATTTTTTGTTATTTACTTCTAATCTTTTACACGGGGAAGGCGTGCGCGTGTGGCGCGTGGAACACATATCCCTGCATTCTCCTTGATGCTTGGATAATACTGCAATAGGTCTATTATGAAGATGTTCTTGTCTTCTCAGTGTCGTATTGCAATGATGAAAGTCATTTCTGAAGTATATTACACTCCGTTTTGCTTTGGTAGCAGACGACACGATAGATTTGCTGACCCCTGTTGCAGCGAGCGTCTTCATTGAATTGCGTCGGTAAACGAGCGACAAAAACAAGTGCATCGCCTTGGCCGCAGAGGCCTCCGCAATGTGCGTTTTGTTTTTTCTGTGAAGAACCCAGCTTAGTTCAGAGGGGTGAAGGTGCCGTAAAATCGAACCACGTCATGCAAATCAGTTACGACGACGACCTGAAGTGCAGGCCAGCATGAGAAACAAATCGTACGCCGTCGAGGTAAGTCGTTTATTATTATTATTGCGGCTTGTACTAAATACTAAATTGAAAAGCTAGTTCGAAAAAATGAAAAGCACACACCGGATTGCGGATGGACACAGGCATACTTCTCAACGCTGTTTTGCCAGAGCGATATCCCATAGCAAGTCGCAGGAAAGGTAAGACAGACGCAGACACGTTGCGAGCAGACGACGTTGCAAAGGAGCAGACGACGTTGCAAAGGAGCAGACGACGCTCAGCTAAGGGGTCGCGATTAGCCAATCAGGGCTCGGCGTTCTGACGTCACCGCTACTTCCTCTCTCATGCGCTGAAGACGAAAATGAGCCAACTTGCGAGGCGTATTCGAAAGACGAAGCCGACGAAGCTATAAAAGGACATAGATATCATACTAAAAGGAGGTTCAAAAACACGCGATGAAAATAGTTTACACAGCCTAGCTTCACTAGAGAATAGCCATAGAGAGAACAGCACCAAACGGATCATAACAATTCTCTAGATCAAGAGAGTTCAGTTCAGAACTCTGGCAACGCTGTCCAAAACGTCGAACTTTTCAAACTGTTTCCTGTTTCGCCGACTCGCCGACCAGTCGTACTTCGAATTTCGACAAAGTTCGCGACATTACCAACATTACTGCTGACGCTGCCGCCGCTGCTTCCACCACTGCCACTGCTGCTGCCGCCAGCTGAGTGTGTTTTCGGTGATGTGCGGTCCGTGCCGGTGCGACCGCGAGAACTGACTAGCGCGGTTTAACAGCGAGTCAACGAGTCTGTTTTCTTTAGAAAAACGATGGCGTTCATGGACTCTCCGAGTTCGGAAAGGTGGGCTCGAAATGGGGTTCTGTTTCGTTTTTTTCCCAACTTTCGTAACAAGCTCGAGCCGGTAACAGTCGTTGAACGCGAGTAGGTCTTTACCGGCTGTGATTCAAACGCACTCGCCAAAAGCCGCAAGCGAAAGGCGCAGCTCGGCAGATAATGTTTAGGTGTTTTCAAAGTGCACGTTCACAACTACAACTTGCAGTCTCGGATATGAGCACCCAGTTGAGGAATGTCGAGAAAAAAACAACAAACGAAGGAAGATATGTCTGGCTCGCGTCATATCGAGCTAGCGGCGTTCATTTCGCATCCTTGCGCAACGCTCGAGCCATCGCGTGTAATCCCGGATGATGTCCGGCGATACCTGCCCGCACCTGTTGTAAGCGGAGGCACGAATGACTGCGCAGGTTTTCACTGCTGCTCCTAGAACCCGGGGAGATCTACTTCAAAGACTACAGCGTCTACCTTTACCCTGACAACGTGTCCGAGGCCGAAGCTCGCAGGCGGTAAGGGAACTTCGCTTGTTTCTTGCAGGGTACAGGAAAGCGTGGGCGGTCTCCTCCCACAAAACTCTTTGCTCTTTCTGCTTCAGCAGAGCGAACGCTGGAAAGGAGGAAACCACCAATCCCGGCGAGCAGAGAGCATTGTGGGAGGAACTTTTCTTAGCCTGCCACAGACTATTAGCACCTCAACGTTTTGGTGGTGCCCTTCTTGTGGTTCATCTTCGTGACGTCGCCACCAGGATTTGACCAACATTGTTACATTATTTCAGTTACGGAACTGCTCATAGACGCTGCTTGCACGAGCAGTACCCCTCCCCCGTCTCACCATGGCTCGCCTCTCAACGTTCCTGCAGTGTATTCTATGAAAGAAGGATGTTTCGAAGCACCGTTTCTAGATGGCGTTCCACCATACTGTATGAAACACGTAGTTTTGAAACGAAAATCTAGATGGCGCTTCAAATGACGGGAGGTGGACTGAAGAGAGTGAGTGGCGGTACCCCCCTCTGCAGGAGTTCCACAACTGAGGTAATCTAGCAACATTGGATTTGACTTACCGTGACTTCACGAGCAGTGATCCTTGCTACTTAAAAGGGTACTCCGGCGATTTTTTCATGGTCGCTGATTTGCCTCAAAATTGGCACAACACGCCGATAGACATGGCTCTACGAGTTCCCCATGTTTTGAGTGAAAAGAAAAAAAAATTTGCGAAGTTATTGAATTTTCGAATTTCGTTTTCATCGTGTTTCTTAAACTGGGATCCCCTACTGGCAACATTGAAGTGCGACGACAGAAATGGTACAAAGTGGGCAGTAAGCCATGTTCCCAACTGATTACAAGACATTTGATGGTGGGAAAAGAATGTTTGGTAACTGATTCACTGAGAAGCACGCAAAAAACACTCGACATACTCTGTTTAAGACTACATGCACGACCTGAAAGCCATGTGTGACGTCGCACCGCTGAAGAGCGCGCGAAAATTTGAATGCTGGTTTCGGCATCATCTTCATTTACGGTTTTCTCAATTGCTATCTTGAATTTCGAGAAAATAAATAGCATACCATGACGACTGAAGTCCAGGTAGTCAGAAAATGCAATTTGTATAGGTAGCTCAAAAAATGGCCGGAGTACCCCTTTAAATGGACACTGACAACACCCAAAACCTTTTTTTTTTTTTTTTTTTTTTGTTAGGCTATCTATTTATTATGGTGTCAGAAGACTACCCAATCAATATTTTGCTACAGTGTCACGTATATTTTTAATAAAGTAAAAAAAAATGCAACTGCTCAAAACTGAACTGGGGAGGAAGAAGAAATATAGAGGAGGAGAAAGATGCCAGAAGTCGCGTGTCTATAACTTTTTTTTTTATCAACATATTTGCTGTTTTTTTAGAAGCCACTATTTTTTGTCCATTTCTTACATTGAGTGTGTGCCTTCGATGGGCCCATGACTTTGATTATCTTCGGTGGTTGTGTCTAAGCCATAGAAAACGGCACGTGACCACAGAGAACAGAGGGAGCGCGACTCAAACTGGCCAGTTCTCGATAGGCGGTTTTCGGGCAAAAGAAAACTAATTTCGAACTGCAAATTTTGCTCTAGGTAGTTGAGCTTTCATATGTCATGTACAAAAAAAAACCTTGACAAGCATAAATACTCTGTCAGTGTCCCTCTAAGCATCAGTTACAAATGGCAAGTTCGATGGTGTGTGTGTAAAAAGAACAGTGGAAGCTTAGAGTCATTGCACTCTTAAACCATCAATGTCAATTGACAGTCTAGCTTTCTTTTTATTTCCCTCAATGAAAGCAAAACTATCCATTAAAGACGGTGTAGTCAGCGTTCGACTAATAGTGGAAAGCTGACCGCCGTGATGCTTTTGGTCGCACATGTCACCAACGGGGCTGACGCGTTTCTGTTCCTCTAGCTGCCAGAAAGGAAGGCTGAAGATATGCTCAAAGTCGCTGCTCTTTGTTCCCGAGGATGTTAACCAACCTATCCTCAAGGTATGTCGTACGAGCTGTCCTGTCTATGTGTATTGCAACAAAAACTTCCGACCGCTTAAAAAAAACGAAAAATCTTGCAGTTTCCCCTGAACGAGTCAAGCATCGTGGAAAGATGGACGGGCCCGCTGATGTCCAAGTGAGTGAGCGCTCGTGTCTACGGGGAAGTGCTAGAGTCACTAAATACTCTTAGAGTATCGGCACTTCATTCATTGTTTGTCTCGTGAGTGCCACCATTTGGTACTTTGCATACAGCAAGCACAATTGGCGAACGTTACGATTAGAATATGCGACTTCCTGAGCTCGGGTGACATCATCTTGCTTCGTTGCGGATCATTTTTACGTACTGGAGAACTGAGAAAGCATCTCTTGTGATTTGAGGTAAAGCTTCAGACAACTGGCAGAAGGCATTCTAAACACAGAGATGGCCGATGCGTCATTACTTTCGAGTATAGCTTATTAAGTTGCTCTTTTGAAAGTTCTATTTGATTTAGAAGAATTACAGTTTTGGTACATGTTTGCCTGTGCAACCCATTTCGTTTTACGGTAAAGTATAATTAGTCTAGGATGCTGTCTGAAGTTCTTGCATTGGGAGTGTGCCATATTAACCTTACGTTCTGTCACATTCACTGTCAAGCTCTTGATGACACGCTGGTGGCACTAGGATTTTCAACAATACTGAATGTTCCCAGAGCTTTGCGCTCTATAAACATTTGCAGGTACGGCCTCAGGGCGACACAATCTCGATCGGTTGGGGTGTGCTTGGGCACGTCAAATCCGATTACTACGCCTTGCGCCGTGATCAGATTATGACGCGCCCAAGCACACCCCAAGCTATCAAGATGCCGGCGTCCTGAGGCTGTGCTTGCAAACGCCTATAAGCCGGTTTCTCTGCCAGGTTTGCCCGCACCGGTTAGATTTAATTGCATAAGGCCACCATGTTAGGCCAATTTCAAAGTATGGTTCTGTAGTTTGGGGAGTTTATTTAAAAGAGGACATTCATCGACTTTATTCAGGCCAAAGCGGTTAGACTTATTTCCAGTAGATACGATCAACACTTTTCACCTTCATTCACTATGCCAACATTGAGGCTAGAGTCTCTGTCTTTTAGGCGAACTGTCAAGCAGTTGAAGATGCTACATAGAATTGTTAAAAATCCATGAAATGCATGAAATACATTTCTTTTTCAGACATCATGCGCACTAGGCGATCCCATCCTTTAAACATTGTACCTTTTCAGTCTCATATTAATTGTTTTAAAGATTCCTTCTTTCCGTGCACGGTTGAGTTGTGGAACGGTATTAATGGATCTATGTGTATGGTTCAGTACGACGACTTTGTTTTAAAAATTGTGAAACTTGGTTTTGTTTGATGTGTGACTGCCAAATCATTATTCTGTATATGTTCATGTTTATTGTTTGCACTACTCATCTGTCTTTCACCTGTGTATTCCACTCCTGCAATGACTTCAATTGAGGTCGCAGTATGTTTAAATAAACATGCTGCGATTGATTTTGGCATTGCAACATAATTTCGAAATGAAGCTTGGAAGTTTCGATACACTAGAAGCAGAACCAGTCGATTTGTATGAATTGTTAAAACTACAGGTGTCATATAATAAAAAGAAAGCCTCACGCCGTGTTCTTAATAAATAAATGCTTGATTTGCACAACCTTAGAACTGCCGAGGATTACTTGAGCATAAAACATTAGTTCGGTCATCCACACTGGAATATGCTAGACCGTTTGGGACTCGCATATTTGGCTGTTTGTGGACGGAAATTGGAAATGGTACATAGAAAATCTCTTCAATTTATTTCTAATAAATTTGGACGGCATGACTCGCCATCATCATTAATGGAGTGAGCAGATTTAACATCCCTTAGACATCGCACAAGAATTGATTGATGGAAAACCTGTTATCGACCTTCATATCAATGCTGACAACTTGTCTAGCTTCCCCACTCTAGAACCAACACTAGAGCTTCAAATTCAAAAAGCATAAAAAAGCTTTCAGTGTTGCATTGATTGTTTTAAAAATATGTTTTCTCCTCATACCATATCACGTTGAAATAACATATCTCCCTGTATCACCGTTACCAATTCTGTTGGCAGTTTCCTACACCAGCTGGTCGCCTCATAGCATGTGTTTATTTCTACCAATGTTATTTTACTGCCTCTACTCCTCTCCTACTATGCCCTCGTTATTGGAGTAGTCGTATTATCTAATCAACAAATAAAAAATAAAGCCTAAGAGGACTAGTAACCTATCAGTGGTTTTTTATTGTGCTGCACTCCAGAATTAAAAATAAACTTCTGCGGTTAGGGATGAGGTAACGATAAGGGTGTCTATGTAAACTTTTATGTAAGCCAGCGCAGTGTAGTTTGATTGGTTTGGTAATGGCCAGCTTCCATGGGTTCGTGAAGGAGTGACCATTCGCTGAAGTTTGTGTGTGAACTTAGCAATTTAAGATTGCATTTAAATAACAGCCAGTGAAGTTGGCAAAAACTACGACTTAAAAAGGTACTCTGGCGTTTCATTCATGAGCTGAAAATTTTCTAAGACACCGCCCCCGGTTTGCCTGAAAATTTGCCGAATTGGTAACCCAAATATTATGCAAAGAACTTTTTTCTTGCAAAGTTATTGAATCTACAATTTTGGTCCTCACCATGTTTTTCAAGGTGAACTTATTCAAAGTGAACCCAACTGATTGCAAGCAGTTCCATGGTGTCAAATTAGGGTGGCCATATTTTCCGTTTTGGCCGGGACAGTCCCATTTTAGATGTTTGTTTCTACCATGCTGTCATTTTGTCTCAATACAGCCAGATGTCCCGTTTTTGTTGAAACTTGATGGCGAAATCAGTACCAGGCGAGGGGAAGAAATAAATGATCACTCGTGATAGTGTAATAGAATAAACAGTATACAAATGCTATCTCCATTAGAGTATGGTTTTTAGCTTTTTCAGTTGCTCCACTTGCCAATAAGTTTTGTTCACATAGACATCTTTACAGGGTACCTTTTCTATATTACACTATATTTGCCACGCTTATGTTTTGCAAATGGGTAAAAAAGGTGCTTGTGTACTCAACTACTCAGCGAAAAGCCCCAGAAAAATGTGTTTTATTGGTGAATTGAATAGTTGAGGAGCTTTTTTCTTTCTTCATTTTGCCCCCCCCCCCCCCCCCCTTTCCTTTCCTAAAAAGCTCTATGATCAGATTGACATGCAATCAAAGATTGCGACACGCCCACTTGTTTGCGATCCGGCATAGAAACTAGAGGGCGCCATGAGACGTGCCGCAGCCAATCGCCAGCGATTGCTTCCCGCGTGGCAAGAGGCCCGGCTAACAATGAACTGATTTTCGAATGTTTGTGACTTGCGCGCGGAAAGCGATCACTCACGATTCGCTCTCACACGTCTGATGGCACCCTTTGGTTTCTGCCCCGAATCGCAGAAGAAAGGTCGTGTGACAATCTTTGATCCTGTCTTCAATAGGGAAACGAGTAGTGTATCAATCTAATTTTTGAATTTTTTAAAAATGCTTGGAGCCTATACTATATTGATTTACGACCATAAATAGACAATCCCAGAAACCACTTTAGTCCCCCTTTAAAAAACATATGCAAAGGAAAAATCTTTTTTTTTTTTAAACAGCCTGGATTGACAGTCAAAATAATTTTACAATGAAAAAAAAAATATTTTAGAGCTATATTTATGGGGCGAAACGAATTTGTAGTTGGCGCCTGCGGGAACATTTGGAAAAAGGGCAACTAGCTCTCACGTGACTGGCCACTAGTCATGTGGTGCTTGTGCGTTTTCGGGAGCTTCCTGCGGGCTTTAAAAGTTATTAATCTTTGTTTTTTGTTGCACTTAAAATGAAGATTAATAAGTAACTTTAGAGCCCATAGGAAGCTCCCGAAAGAGTGCAACCACCACGTGACTAGTGGCTAGTCACGTGACAGCTTGTTGCCACTTTTTCGCGGGCTCCCGCAGGCACCAACTGTGAATTCTTTTAACAACGTAAATATAGCTTTAAAAAAATTTTTTTTGTAGTAAATTTATTTAATGACATACTTTTCCAGGCTGTTTCAAGAGCTTTTTTGTTTCCTTTGCATACGTTTTTCTAAGTTTTAAATATTGACAAGGTTCTACTGCACTGGAGGTGTCTTTAAGCTCTTGGTCCCGTGTCTTTGCAGGCTGTACAGCAAGAACAGCGTCATGAGCCTCAAGAACGACCAGGTGGTGGAGATGCTGGAAGGGAACTTCATCCGGCCTTACGTCTTCAAGAGGGTTCGTCCCATGGCAGACTCGGCTGCAGTCGGCCGTCCCTGACAGTCCCGCTTCCTTCCAACAGAAACGGGTCGCCTACCTGTTCTCCCTGACCTACGGCAGCATCGAGGAGTGCTGCAGGCACATATCCCAGGTCGGTGGACGTCGAAGATACGGGCATCTTGCTCAACTTGCCGGAATACGTAGTGAGGCAGAGTGGATGTGCAGAAACACAGTCTCTTGTTTCTGTGTTTACAAGGGGGTGTTCCCAAGCTAATGTTCGCAAGAATAACGCCGACTTGCCAACAGAGAAAGCCAGAAACACGATCTGCTGTGGCAGAAGCAGCAGGTGCTAAACAATGTTGCGCGTTTATTATCGAGCTCTACAACCATACGCCGTACCGACACTCGTGCGTATACATTCCGCTACGCTGTCAGGACAAGCAAGCCATCGTCGGTTTGCTTTTTCCTCGGCGTTGAGGGGGCGGTCAACAAAACTAAGCTACTCTATACTCGTGTACTAGTTGCGTGCAGTACAGGCGAAGGCAAGGCCAGGCGGGGGAGAGAAAAAGCAAGCACTAGGAAGGCTGGGGAGAAGGAGAGAATCCTCCCCTCCTCTCTAACGTTCCTAGTGCTCTCCCTTTTTCCCATCGCCCTCCGTTGCCCTCCTCTCCCGTCCTGCCATCCTAGTGCTCGCCCTTTCTCTCTTCAGCTGGCGCTGCATTCGCCTGCACTGTACACCAACTAGTGACATGGAGCATAGGGGAGGAAAGTAGTCAGTTGGGATACTAAACACAGAGGTAGATTTTAACGCCTGCCAGTACCCTTTGAAAGTTGATGCAAAAAAGCGCCAAAGTCGTGTTCGCGCCGACAGTGCCGCGCAGTGTATGTGTGCCCTCTCGCAGACAGATGTTTGTTAAAAGGAAGCTGAAGAGATTTTTGAAAAAAACAAATTAGAGGTGAATTCGAGAGTATTTTTATCCTGTGAACTGGAATATCAGGTTTCTTTTCCCCGCAGAGGTTATAACACAAAATCTTTCCTACCAATCGTTAAGTCATAAAATTATCTTTCAGCCGGCAAGTGCGTGTCGCTCACGTGGGCAGCGCAAAAGCAAGTGCAAGCTCGTCATGTATATTCCCCGGCACTGACACCAAACGTGATGTCTTTTTCTGACCTTTTTGAAAATAGCAGGAGTGCACGGGCATAGCCTTAATAGGCGCTGGAGATGCGCGATGGTGGTGATTCCGAAAACTCCTTTTATGACGTAATGCTCTGGGAAGGGGGGCTTCAGTGGTACTTTGAAAATGTTTTTTCTGCAGCCTCCGTGCACCAAATAGAAAAATAATCTCGATATTTGTGATCCGGGAGGCCAAATGAAGACGATTGAAGTGTTTTTACTCAAATAGCAGGATCTTCAGCTTCCCTTTAAACTGCAGAGATTGCACAGAACAATTTGTCAGCAGTGATTTGGCTCGGCCTTTGGTGTAAAATTAGAGGAAGTTTTGCATCGTCTCCCATTGCTTTGCTGAAGAAGCAAACTCGCACCCTTTTCAGCTGACGAGGGCCTCTACGTTGTCTGCTGCCGAACATGACGTCATGGTGAGTGAGGACGGCCGAGGTGTGGCCCTTTCCGGATCAGTGCCCGCAGCTCTGCTTCAATTTCTGTCTTCCCCAGGTGGCAGCCATGGTCCTCTCCTGGCAGTCTAGAATCACCTTTGACAGAAGTTGGTGAGCGACTGCTTGATCTTGCACGTGACTGAAATCGGAAATCAAAGATTAGTTTAAATGCGTCGCATTTATAAGGAGCTTTTAGAGCTTTTGTGTCTGCATCTGGGTGTAGCCTCGACAATTGCACAGTGTCGCGTAACTTTCTGATGTTATGTAACATTACAATGTCACGTGACAATGACATCACGGTGTTATTAGACGCAACCTCATGTGACACTGTGACAGGTGCCACCATTATGTGTCGTAACGTCGCGTCATCAGATGATCTAATGTCACATTTCGACGTCACATGTTCAAGTGACATAATGTTACGTGTCACGTAAGGTCATACGCTTTCGTAATAGTCATATGACACAATGACATCACGTGACATGTGACAACAGTTGACATTGTGACATCAATGAAACTGTAATGCCAGGTGATACCATGGTGTCTGAGTACCTACAAATGCTATGCTTTTAGGGTGCTCTCGGGATATACCGTATTTACTCGCACAATGAACGCACTCGCGTAATGAACGCACCCCCCCAAGTCGGCTCAAAATTTCGACTTTTTTTTCCACTCGCGTAATAAACGCAGCCCCAACTCCGATGTCAAAATTTTGACCCCCTCCCCCCACGCGTGCGAAATGAACGCACTTTTCTATCCTTATGCAGCGAGGTCGCGAAGGCATGGGCAGCGTGGGCGAACAAAACGCCTTTCAAAAGGCGTTAAAAAATTCGAGAAGATCCGACGGAAGCAAGAAAAAAGAACATGGAGAGGAGTTTTTTTTTTTTTTTTTGCACAGCGCAGTTTGAACTTTGGGTTCCCGCGCCGCCGCGCGCAAGGAGGTAAGAAAGAGAAGCGCTCTAAGCCAACGAAACAGCTTGCGAAAGGCGGCAAAAAGAAAGAAAAAACCCGCAGAACTGAGAGAAAACAAAAACAGAGGAGCTTTTTTTTTTCTTTTTTTTTTTTGTTGCACAGCGCAGTTTGGTTACGGGGGGTCGCGCGCCGCGCGCAAGGAGGTAAGAAAGAGGAGCGGAGAAGCCCTCTAAGCAAACGAAACAGCTTGCGAAAGGCGGCAAAAAAAAAAAAAAAAAAGAGAAACACGGAACAGAAAAAAAGGAGCTTCTTTTTTTTTTTTTCTTTTTTTTTTGCACAACGCAGTTTGGTTACGGGGATCGCGCGCCGCGCGCAAGGAGATAAGAAAGATAAGCGGAGAACCCTCACCTAAGCAAACAAAACAGCTTGCCAAAGGCGGCAAAAAAAAAACAACAAGAAACTAAGAGAAAAACAAAACAAAGAGCAGCTCTTTTTTGTTTTGTTTTTTTGCACAGCTTAGTTTGGTTACCGGGTCGGGCGCCGCGCTCAGAGATAAGAAGTTACTTCGATTTTTAAGGATAAAAGGTCGGTTCATTATGCGAGTAAATACTGACGCAAAAATTTTACTTCCCGTAATGAACGCCCCCCCTAACTTTGCATCGATTTTTCGGAAAAAAAGTGCGTTCATTCTGCGAGTAAATACGGTAGTATTAGAAAGATGGACAATTTTTTCGTTATATGTTTTCTCAACGAAGAAGTGTGGAAAATTTGGGAACCTCGCACATGTGAAAGGTAATTTCATACACAGAACAGATGCAGTTGTTTGTGTTAGTACCGAGTACCAAGTAGTACCGAGCTGCGCCGATTCCATCCGTGAGCGGGAATTGGGTCCGATCGTGCGTTTCGAGGAAGGACCTGTGAGGTGCAACTAGCATTCAGTTTAAAATTGAGAAGCCTTAGCATTAATTAAATATTTCCTCAACTACAGCAGCCTTTCATTCCCTGTTCAACCATTTCTGGAAAGATTCGCAGTCATTAGATTTCATGATAAACAGCTGTGCCTCGGTGAATGTAAGCGCAACGCATATGTCGACAAGCGAATGCGTCGACGAGCGAGTAACCGTTGCCCGTGTAACCTCAGTTGTGTGCCTCGATGCACGTCCATTTGCGACAGCCTGGAGGACCTGACGGAGGAGATTGTGCTCGAGACGAAGGCGAGCAAGATCACGCCCCTGGTGACCAACCCGGGCCTGGTGCTGCTCACCTCCCTCAGGCTCTACTTCCAGCCGTTCAACAACGTCGAGCCGGTGAGAGGTCCGCTTGATCGTTGGACGTTTCCCCCTGCAGATGCCAGGTGCTCCGCGGCTCCAACCTCCGTGTGTCCAGCTTAGACGAACGAGCTCTGCCAGTGCCGTGTGATGCCCATGGTGTCGACGGCGCTGCCAACAGTGCCGTTATAACGCATAGTCCCTCGATGTCCGCTCCATGACATCATAAAAGTGCCCTGCCGTCGCAGCTTCACTGGCAGATGTGGCACACGCCTGTTCTGCTGCAGGTCGCGCTCCAGCTTGGCGATTCACGGAAGCTGCGGCAGCCGGGAGTTTAGGTGCTGCGATAACGGCGACACTTGCATTCGCTCGCGCTTTTTGCCGAGGCTTCTAGCACCAACTGGCAGGACTGCAACATCCCACAGAACACCCTGGCTTTTGCGACATCGTTTGTTGCCACTTCGGCACCACTTTTGGTGTACGGACAGGATGGGACGTTAAACACACCAGTCGAAGATGCATTCCCGGCGTTATAGTGTTGAGGGCTTTTTGTTTACTACCTCTACTCCTCTCACTTTATGTAATATGTTCGATGTAAATGTTATTAAGGCCATTGAACTTGGACTTCCTGTTTTACATTCTTTTGAGTAATTTAGAAGGAAGCTCAAATCTAAGCTTCTTTTGACTCTTGTTTCTTGCATGTGTGGGTGCGAATGTTTCAGGGAAGTGTTTTGTCATGCGAGTTCTTTGCCCAATGTGCAGTGGCCCCACCTGAAGATCAACCTGTGCGAGGTGCAGCGGGTGATCCGACGGAGGTTCCTGCTCAGGCCAGTGGTGAGTGGTTTGTCCGCTGCATCCGTAAACCCCAAGCTGACAAAACAGCGGAAGCCGCGTACTTGCTGCACAAATTGAGCATTGACCTCCCACTCGAGCAAAACCTCAAAATGAAAACGTATAAATGGCGACATTTCTTTTTCTTCAGAAATTATAACAACGGAACAAAGCGCCGAAACCAGAAAACTTGTTACGTACTGACGGATACTATTAGTGCAGTGCAAACCCCGAGGCAGGATCTTCAAGCGCCAATACGTTTGGTGGAGACGAGTTTTGTGGGCTCATATGAGTTAGTGGTGTTTGCCTGCTTCTCAGCTGTGTATGAACACGGCCCCTCGATACGAAACTCGCAAGTGCAGCCCACCAAATGTGCCGCAAACGGCAAGACGTGTCTAGTACCCCGGGCGACCACCACGGTGCCACCGGTCGATGACAGCAGCGTTCAATCTCTGGCACTAGTTAGTTTATTCCGTGGTATCTCTCCGCTGATAATTATCTCTCTGTTGCTGCTCAGCAATGTGCATCCCCGGAATTGCTTGAAGCGCCCACGACTTCTAACGCCCTGAGAGAAAAACACGGCCAGTAGTGTTAACTGTGCAGTCTCGCCTTTGCCTATGTGCGACAGTTCGACGAGGCAAGTCCTACTTTGTTTTTGATTGAGCGGCCGTGGCATGAGAGAGGGAGACATCTTGAATCTCAGATTAATGGCTAATCTAGTTTCAGCTCAAAAGCAGTTCAAATGAACAGCTGCACAATTAAACTGCAGCATCTCGGTTTAGCAAATGTGTTTTCTGTTTCTATACCTTGTGGCCTTGCTATTTGTTTTCTACTTGTATTTTACATTTTAAATTCCTTGCCTATGTATAATACCTACTTCCATAGGGAGGTCCTTGAGCTAAAAAAAGTGACATTATATTTCATTTTATAGCACGGAACAAGTACCAAGAATTAACAGTGATGAATTCCACGATTTATTTAATAGGGTTGTAACTCGTGATGTATTCAGCGAGTGGAGTAATTTTGCTTACAATTTTAGAAGCAGCACGTTTAGCTGCTCTGTAATACCCTCTAATTTCTGAGTTACGTTAATAGATAAAATATGGTACAGTTGTGGTGTACTTTTTAACGAGCAATACCAAAAGCTCGAAAGCAGTTCACATGAAAAGGTCCAAAAAGCTGCCAACTAGCAGATATTTTTTGAGCCCCCTCGTCAAAATCATACCTTTCATGCTAAAATAAAATCTCTCTAAAAAAAAAAAAATTTTTTTTTAATTTGGTTTTTTGGACTTGTTTAAATCGAAATGAACTTGGTTTTGTGGAATGGTAAACTGGAAACAAAATCTAAAAAAAACTAACCCCCCGAAAATCTTGAAACAAATCCAGCATCATAGTTTTTACGGTTCCCATAACCGCGACTGATGCGTCTTGGCTGGTTCGCACATTTGCAATTAAGTGGGACCTAGCGCGTTGCAATCGCGCGTCACTGTTCACGACGAGAGAATGCACCGACGTCACCTGTCGGGCAGTCCTGGAACGCTTCTGACCCGCATATGTGTTTTTAAAAAATCTTTTTACGCATCATGCTTTTACTGCTAGCTTGAAATAATTCCGGCAGCGTTACACGCAACCATTCCCCAAAGATGGTGCGTACATTCAATCTTGCAAGTGCCACAAAACCTTCAGACTAAGTCTACGAAGATCGAAAGTGTCCCAGATCCACCCGATAGATGGCACCACCATGTTTTCCCACCGCAAGCAGCGAGAAACGGCGGCGACGGATTTGCTCGTGCTCAGAAACAAATGTGGGATACGGCCTTCGCTGTTCTTTGTTTCATTGTAAATTCTAGCGCGGTTACAAGCTCAAACACCGACACACGCACTAAAAGCACGAATCGCTGGGCATTTGCCGCACTCGATTAACTCGGCAGACGATAGAAGACGTAGGCAAAAACGACAAACGTTATGACGTTACGCTTTTAACGTCATTCGGTCGGTCCCGTCAACTCATAGTGTCAACTGCACTCTGATGAAGCGAAGTACTATACCTAATAATGTATTTTTTTCGTTTTGTAAAATTTTTGGCTTTTGCATTGCTGTTGGGTTGAGGCTGCATGACGCTTGCAGTCCCCGAGACGGGTCTCCGAGCGGAGCGTTTACTGCATCCTCAAAAGCAGTTCCTCAATTTCCACCTGGTGACTTCGTAGAGGTGTCGTGCCCCGCGATTCTTGTGATGGCACGGCAGCGGAGTTGAACAAGGCAGACGCCCGCCCCGCTGTAGGTCGCTGTGCAGACATACGTTCCACGGAACCAATGAAACCGTCGCAGATAGGAGACTGAATGTAATGGGATGTCACGACGACTGCGACACTTTTTTCGCTGGCATTTCTACGACCGGTCGCCGGGACTGCGACATCCGACAGCAGGATGCACCGGCTCCTGCGGTGCAATTTGTTTCCGGGACCATTTTCGTTTGCGCAGTTGGGCTAGGATGGTGGACGCATTGGTCGAGGGCGCATTCTAGGCACCCTGGCGACGTTGTGTCTCCTCGTTGCAGGGTCTGGAGTTGTACTGTTCGGAGAGCGCCCTGCTCAAGCACCTGTTCCTCTCCTTCAAGACGAGGGAAGACAGGGACCGGGTGTACGACCTACTCATGAGGCAGCCAGGTGGGCATTCTGTTTGGGGAATTCGCTTGGATGAAAGGGAGCCTAAAAAAAAAAAAAACTAAACTTGGAAAAAAAAAAAAAAAGAAATTGTAAGTTTGTGTGTAGACAGCGTAAGGTCGGTCTGCCTTTGAGGTGTAGTGCACTGGCTTACACTGTGGATGACAAATTTAGCCATTGCAGTACCACTACTAACCTAGAATGTACATTTTGAAACCCCTGGAGGTTCGAAAAAAAAATGCTTTGGATAACGATTGCAGATAAGTACTTATTTTCTACCAAAAGTTAGCAAAAACAAAAAAAGAAACTTTCAGCCTTTCCACTCTGGTGAAGAAGGAAGACCAGCGAAGCTGTACTATGGTGGGAATGAAGTATGATGACCGGCTGCTAATCGGCAAGCCAGAGTGGAAAGGCTTGAAAGGTTGCCGCCATTGCTCATAGATGGCGGTAGCTGTCCAGAGTTTGGTGTCATCATTTGTTGCCAGGACGGACGCAATACTGGGGAAATTAGCCCTTAAAAGATGCGCTGGAAAAAAGAGATCACAATGTCGCATCTGTCAAAGCATCCGCCGGCTGGCTTCGACAAATTTGATGCACTCACATTTTGCAGCAGTCGTCCACATTGATTTACGTAGAACATAGAAGGGAGCAAATAATCCCTAAATTACGCGGTTTATGTGTACGAAATTGTAGCGCCTCCGGGTTTGTTCCGTTAGACCTACGAAGCTTCTCGGGGTAGCGCATAGAGCCGTCCACGCACAGACTTGCCCAATCGAGCGTATAACATCGTGTACACCAACACAAAAATACAGAGGCACCATACTGAGCGGCGAGAACAGCAAACGACTCATGGCAGATTCAAATCACAGAAATAAGCGTCGCACACACACTGCGACTTCCCGATGGGGTGCTTGTGCGGAGGCTAGCTGGGCAGCGCTCGATCAGCTCAACTCAACGCGCTAGCAGCGCTAGTGTGCATGCGCACCGGCTGGTTCCGCCGCTAGGAGGCAGGCATGTCTTGTTTTTACAGCAGAGCTGTCTATGGCTAGGTTCTAGCAGATCGTCTCCGGCGACAGACCGGGCGTAGACCAAAGCTTTTCAAACGCCCAGCTATATGCCCCATTTATACTCCTCTCCACCGCCGCCGCCTCTTTCCCGAGTCTTGTATCCTCCTCGCCACTCACGGCATCTCTCTCCCCCCTGACATTGCGCAATGCTGCAAGCTCTTCAGCAGTCACCTGTGCGGTGCACTATAAAGCCTGCGCCGTGATTGGCGTAGCCGCGCTATAATAAAAATGTCTCTTCAATCAGCCAATAATCAACTTATAATAATCAGATTCTACATAGCAAATCCCCAATATAGCTAAACCCCAACATAGCAGATCCCACCAGAGCGCCAGCTTTGCTGGAGTTCCATCTTCATGGGGTAAAAGGGTTTTCAATTTTTTTTTTTCTTTGTCTTTGTTTTGTTCATTTACAAATTTTTTTCCTATTTTCCATTTTTTTCGCTCAATAAAAATGTTTTTTTTTAAAGAATAATGATGGTTTACGGAGCGATACCTGTTATTTAGCCTGCATTCAAAAGAAATTTGACGGCTCTTGCCTATTGCCAATCGCAAAATGCTTACCGGCGATGTCACTGTCCGCACGTTTTCAACACGCTTTGTCGCCACCGGACCTTGAGCTGTTTTTGCCCGATCAAATAAAAAATATGATGCACTAATATTTCGTGGCTCCTGCTTGTTCCCCGAGTAGCCCGAACCACTAATGAGGTAATAACATAAATCTGCCAGAAGCTCAAATGTCATTAGGGCCCCTTTAAAATGGCCATCAAAACTTCCCGAATTGCTTGTTTAGAGTGATACTCATCCTTATAAAATCTGCTTGAAGTAGATTTCTGTGCCCCCTATAGCTTGTGATGCTGCAGTACTAATAGGCACACCTTGCTTCATGGCAACGTCTGGATCCAGGATGTGACAAAGTGGTCCTTTCGTAAACTATATGTTTCTTCCCGCAGCACTGCAGCTGGACGACAAGGGGCAGGAGAACATGACCCTGATGTGGCAGAATGGCCTCGTCTCCAACTATGATTACCTGCTCTACATCAACAGGTCTGCAGCTTTGTAACTATTATAGTGTCTGGCTTGCACCTTGTTTGTCACTAGAAGTGGCGGGTGAAAATACTATATGGACACACAAAACCACTAAGCTACCGTATTTATTTGAAAATATGTCTATCTTTTTAGGAACAATGCCTGCGGGTGTATTTCTCTGCAGTGCTCAAGAATAGCCAGTCGTTGCGATTTACGAAAGAAGCCCAGCGAATGGCGAGGCACCGATGATGTCGGAACGCAGAAATTAGGTCTGTGTGGATCACATCTCTTTCATTCAAAACGTTACCTCTACTAGCCATTCGCCGGCTCCTTCCGTAGGCCTTAAAGAGGCTTGGACACAAAAATTGAACTACGTCACCCTCGAAAGACTAGTCGCTCTCGCGACTAGTCTTTCGAGGGTGACGTAGGGCGCATTTTTCCGACTGTCGGCTGTGATGCACAGCATTACGGTCAACCTTTGCTTCTCATAGCCAGTCGTACGCATTTTTACTTCTCGGGCGCCTACTTTGTTCACGGTGCACATCCTTGGCATGTCGATGTACACAGGGGTCTCATCGACATTGCCGATCTGTCCGAGTCCGTGAAAAGATTCGCGACGCAGCTTCATCACATAACGTTAGAAGTTGACAAGCTTGTCCTTGAAATCCACCGGTAGCTTCTGGAAGATGGTGGTGCGGTGTCTCAAAAAGAAACCGTTCCTCTTCATCGATCGCTCCGCCCAGCCACGGCTTGCGCAGAACGCCGCATTCCGAACTGTTCAGCAGCGCCGTGATTTTCGTTGTCTTCCGCGTGATAAATAACCGTTGTCTTGAACTTCATTGTGTATGACGTTCTCTTCGCACTCATGATGGACGACTTCCGCAAACCACGTGCACACAGTGAACGGAATACGCCTCGCAAGTGGGCTCATTTTCGTCTTCTGCGCATGAGAAAGGAAGTAAGGGTGACGTCAGAACGCCGAGCCCTGATTGGCTGATCGAGACCCCCTATCTCAGCGTCGTCTGCTCCGTTGCAACGTCGTCTGCTCGCAACATTGTCTGCGTCTGTCTTACCTTTCCTGCAACTTTCGGAAGTGCAGGTCTTTACAAGCGAGCTCGACTTCGCCTTTCAGAGAGGGCAGACGACATTAATCGAGCGGTACATTGTTTTTGCCTAACAACTAGCAGACGCGTATCAAGGAGGGAATTGTTAAAGAACTCACTGGCGAGGTGTCCCGAGGCGCCGAGGTTTGTTTGCTAAGAACCGAGAGTGAGCGTGTTAGTGTCTGTAAGTTCCCTCCCAAATACTTTCTCCCTCCTTTCGTGTGCGGCGAGACCCCTCACTCTTTAACGGCGTCAGCGGGTTGGCGCAGTTAACGTCGTCTGCTTTACATTTGCTAGTCAAAGCGATGGCTGCTTTACCTTTCCTGCGTCTGTCGCAAATTCACCGCCTAACTGCCGAGCTCGCTTGGTCGCGTTTGGTGGAATCGTGGCCGTTGGAGCTTTTCCCGGGTGTTTGTGGATCCAGCGTTCTTGTTCGTCGTGGTCTGTTTCAAGTACTTTTTACTTTTTTCTTGCTGCTTGAAGTCGGGACGTGTGAGAAGCGCACATAGAAAAATCAAACGTCCGTGGGTCGTCGCGACCGCGACGCTGTCGGCCATGCTGATTTGGTCGTAAGAAGTGCGTAAGACAGCTTCGGAGCTGTCGTAGGATTTCGTCGTAACCTGCGCAAAGCTTACGAAAATTTCGTTTCGTGAATACGAACTTGTTCTTCAGTTTTGTCTTACCCACATTTTTGGCATAAGATTGTTTCGTGAACCTGGCCTCTGCACTTCTGAAAGTCGCAGGAAAGGTAAGACAGACGCAGACGATGTTACGAGCAGACGACGTTGCAAAGGAGCAGACGACGCTCAGATAGGGGGTCGCGATCAGCCAATCAGGGCTCGGCGTTCTGACGTCACCGCTACCCCCTGCGCAAGAAGCAGACGAACTTGCCCTCCGCATACGATTGCGAGGCCAATGCGGACGAATAGACTTAACAGACTAAACAACCGACTACCACAAGCACAAGGAGACCAAACAAACAAAACATCTTCGATAGAGGGTACGGCAAAAGCACCCTCTTTCGCAACCTGCACGGATGCAAAAGTGGAAAACGGCGGTACATGTGCTGCCATCTATTAACTGACGTTGAAACCAAGCGCCAACGGCCGTTCGCGACTCCGGCGCTCGGCGATACCGGTGTCTCCGGTCTCAAATTTGCTGTTGGGACGGGGGTACTTACATTCGCATGCAAACTTTTTTTCAGGTGTTTATGTTTCAAAGTGGGCGGAATGCTTAGAATCGCGAAAATATGGTAATTCTCAAATATGTCATACCAACTAGCCCAAGCTTCAACTTTAGCTGCACAGTATATACACCAAGCTTTCACGATTTTTAGATCTCTAGTACCGTATTCACTCACACATAAGTCGACCACGAATATAGGTCGATACCTTTAAATTAAACTCTCGGAGAATAAAAAAAAACCATAAATAGGCCATCTTTTTTTTTTTTTTTAAAGAACAGATGAAAGTTTGGACAAATGAAGAAACAAATTTTTATTTACAGCTCTCTCGGCTAAATAACAGCGCAATGCCAAAAACTTGATCATCAGAACTTCCGTACATTTCATTGTCGTCGGAAGCTTCGTCGACATCCTCACAAATTTGCAACAATACCTCACCGACGCAGTTATAAAAGGGCGACAATAAGAAACGAGAGAAGGTGGAGAAGGGCGAAGCGACGAAAAAGCAAAAAGAACACGAGAGCAACAAGAAGCGAATGTAACCTCCGTATGTTGTTTTGCTGCAGTTCTGTCCGTGAGGGGGAGAGGGGTGGAGGGGATAAAGTGCGCGATGGCGGTTGTGCGTTGCCTCCTTCTCTCTCCACTTCCCCCTTGCGTCGAAGACATGCGCGAGCGGCGGTGGTCGCGTACAGGCGAAAAACCACACGATTGAGGGATGTGTGCAAACTTCGGCCACAGCTTCGGTTGTTTTCGTACACCAAAAGCTTTCCGAAACAAAGAGCAGCGCGATACTACGGCGACGCCGGCTCGGTGACTCAAAAGCTCCATGCGCTTGGTAAGGTTGCAAAATTTGGTTACAAATGTAAGAAGGTTGACTCATATTTGAATGCATACAGTAATTGCAATATAATCAATATGCGAATTTTGATCATTTTTATTTGGTGACCCGGCAACACTGTCCAAGGTAGTCACACCACGGTGCCCATAAACCACGCGGTCATGAACGCTCTCTCATCTAGGTGCCTCCCCCCCCCCCCCTTTTGATCGCCCGAGCTCGCCACGGTACGATCGAAACCACTCGCTCACCTCGGTACCCCAGCACTGTTCTCACTCTCGCCCCTGACCCTTTGTTCTTCCACCCTACGTGCACATGCGAGATTGTCCCAGACGATGGCGACCGCTCAAGTTCATCCTTCACTCACCGTCGCTGCAACTGGTCGCCAGTGGGTTGCAATCAAAATGAGCAGCTTCCAATATCTCCCGATAACAATGACTCTCATCACTGCTGCGATCAGTGCCAAGGACTTCGACGAAGCTAGCGGTGCCGCTTCGTCGAAGCTCGAGGTGCCAAGAGAGCCAAGTCTTTGAGTGTGTGCAAGGGGATGCCGCGCGGTGGGCTGGCGACGTTACCAGCCCATCAGCACAGTGGCCTTTTTGAATGAGGCGGATCCGAAGGTCCCACATATGAGTCGATTTATCCACAAAACTATCGCACCATTTTCAAAACAAACTTAGCAGGATTATAGGAACATACTATGGGTCATAGCAGTCTAGTTATCTTGTATTTTATTTTGGGCATATCCTGACCCATTTAATGATTGGTCTCTGTGGGTTCTGCGGGCAATTAGAAGCGCAGCTTGTTACATAAAAAGGTCAACCTATTTATGCATAAATTTGGTAATGGCCTTTTTCGTCTTTAGAATGGTGGCTCTCAAATGGGGATCCGCAGACCCTATGGGGTCCCCAAAAGGCCTTCTTAGGGTCCCCAAAACCCTCACCCGAGCATTAAAATGTATTTTTTAAATTGATGCTTAGCATCTTGGATGTGTAGTTAGTGAGTAGAGTTGATTAGTCTATGTTCCAGAGCTTCAAAGTTGGCTTGCATGCATACAGTTTTCTTTATTTAGGTACCCTTTTGTCATCGTAATCATCTACTATTATTTCTCCCCCTTCCCGGTGGATGGGATTCCCCATTACTTTCGCCGATCCAGAAGGGGTCCCTGAGACATTGGTGGTTCATCTGTAAAACCACTGCTTTAGAACTTTACTTTGAGGCAGTGTGTTGAAGGGGTTGAATACGTTTCGGGTTCAGTGGTGCTCAGCTAGCAGTGTCTGCCGACACTAAAAGGAACTTTTTCATTTTGCTTTAGCTTGGCCGACCGAAGTTTCAACGATCTCACGCAGTACCCGGTATTCCCCTGGGTCATTGGGGACTACTCAAGTAATACGCTCGGTGAGGCCCTCTTTTTGTACTTCGAGAATGTCACATTGTATATTCGCGCGAGAGTCGCACACTTTGTTTCAACATTTCGGGCAAAGTTTTTAGAGGAAAATGCCACATACTAGTATGTGTGTCCGAACACCTTGGCACCACACGACCGCCACATTTCTCACGTGCACCTATGGCGAGAGATTTGTCTTTGGAGTGTCTGGTGACAAGACGTCAGCTGCTCCCCGCTTCGACGACCTTACTGCAATCTTTTTGCTGCGTCGACTCTAGCTCCCGAGACCCAAATACTACTGCCGGCATTGGCTTCAGCCAACGTGAACAGTTCACTTGGCAGCACACCTGCGTTGCTCTGTTCCGTTGGTGGGCTATGGATGTCTGCGAGCCTGGAAAACCTGAAATTGTCAGGAAATTTGAAAGCACCCGTAAAAGGTGGGGAACCGTCGAGGGAATCAACAAAAAGTTGGCAAAGTCTGAGAAAACGACCGACGAGAGTTGCCCAGTGATGCACAGAAACATTGGGAGGGTGGCGCGCAGTGGCGCAGATGGCCTTCACGCCGAGCAAGAGTTGCCTGAGGTATTGCTAGGCAGCGTAAGCCACCATTTCATCTGCCAGATAAAACAAATGAGGCTCTAAGAGCCACCGAAACCCCATCCTCTGCACTTTCTTCCCTTGTAAGCGTAGGGGAATTTTGTTAAAATGTTAAGAGAAAACCTGGAAAAGTTGGGGAACTTGAAAAAGAGCAATTGGGTAGACACCCTGGGACTGTTTTAACATTTCTGGAGGACAGAAAAGTGTTCCCCGTGATTTCAGATAAAGGTTCAGACAACCAGCAACAATGAGTTTAAGCACCAAGATGGCCAAGGCCTTATTACTTTGATGCATAGCTTATTTAGTGGCTGTTGTGGTTGCCACGGAAAGGGGGGACCAGACCTTGTTGAGCCAGGAGCTGCCGTCTCCATGTCCGGCCCCCACACTGTGTGCTTGTTTTGTATTGACACAAATAAACGATCGATCGATTCCAGACTTGACAAAGGATAGCAGCTACCGCGACCTGTCCCGCCCTCTGGGGGCGTTGAGCGAGCTGCGACTCAAGAAACTCAAGGTGAGGTCTTCCGACAAGCTTGTGACTGGGCTTGCACACTTTCGGTAAATACCAACAAACTCTGTAACCTGGCTTGCACACTTTCGGTAAATACCGACAAACTCTGTAAACGAACCGCCTAGCTGGGTTTGTTGAAATTTTGGAAAACCATAGATTCCGAATGGCAGAAACAGCCGAGCTTCACGGAAAGAAAACATTTTCTCTAAAGTTTTAGTTGAGGTTAACCTGGAAAACATCCCCTGGCGAACTTTCTCCGAGACAGCTTCTTTCTTTGGAAACCGCTCACCTTATCTCGTTTCCTCGTTCAATCGGTACCGGCATATTTCCAAAACGTTCGGTTTGCGCCCATGTTCCTCGGAGCTACTTCCCTGAAACCGTTTCGGTGTCCTGTTCTCTTCAATATTAGGCCCGATAAATGCTGATTTTGTGTTTGACACCAGAACTTGACAGCAAAAAACACAAAATCTGCAAGAAAATAAACTTTAAAAAATGTGCATGAATTCGAAAAAAAATAAACCCCGAAAACACGGAACCCTACTTATGGGTTCCATGTTCCCGTGCCTCGAATGTACAGTCGAGCCCTGTTATATCACCCTTCTGTATTTCAAATTACTGTTTATATCAAACGGTTCATACATCCCCTTGAAAATTTAATGTAATAGTAGTATAGCAGTGTTGTCTATTTGTATCGCCCACGTGCCTAATTTTGCACAGCAGAATGTAGGAATACAGCATTGTACAGTTAGTTCTTGAGTAGCATAATTGATGTTTTGCAAGCAATGTTGCACACTACAAAAGTATGCACTTGCAAGCGGATAACAGTGGCGCCGAGCCCCCAGTACGCTCGAGTGAGGATGAAGAACAGTGCTATCGGGAGCTGTGAGACTTCCAAGAACTAAAAGTACCAAACAAGCGAAACAGAAAGTTGCGCGCTGGGGGGGGGGGGGGGGGGGGGACGACTGACGCGGGTGAGCTGGTCGCCCATTATAGAGGAGATCGTGGCACTGGCCCACAGCGTGGTCGTTGCATGTGTAGAAAAACTTTAGAGTTTCCTCTAAGCATTGTGGCAGTGGTGACATAACAAACTGGCTGGTGAGGGGTCGGTCTACAGTAGTATATTTGACAATTGCAACTCAAATCAAGCATTTCTAGAATGGCTTGCTAGAGACTGTTCTGACAAGGTTTTATTTTCACTTGGTGTTTATATTTTCTAAAATTTTATCTTTCCTGATATTGGCAGTGTACTTACCTATTAATGTTTAAAGTATATCTTTAAATGAGTGCCCTGACAACAAGGTTTGATTTAAGAAACCTACTTTCATAGTTATAAAATATGGTATACCCAGACTATTGTAAAAACCTGAGACTAAGGAAGCAGAAGAGCAGGCACACCTGTGAAGACAGTGTTTGGTCTCTTCTTTTTTTCTCCTTCACCTCTAGTTTTCTAACTGTTAAATGTTCACCTATGTTTTCCATTGTACACTGTTGCAAGGTTTGAATGGCAGCTTCAATTACACTGTTCATTTCACTTTAAGAATGTATAACTGCAGTGAACCTGTCATTAAATTAAAGGTTCCTCTCACCAGCGAGCTAGTGAGAGCCGCTAATATCAAACCTTTGCCAAAATGAACTGTTCGGCTAGTTGGATAAGCAGTTGTGAATGCTCTACCTGGTTCCCAATGCCGAATAGAAGTGAAATTCCTATTCCTCTTCTTTTTTTTTTTATCTCCTGTTTTTTTTTTTTTTTTTTTAAATTTTACATACAATATATTTTTAAACTCCATCTTCAAATTTATTTTTCTTTATCCTTTCATTATTATTCATTTTATTTGTTCCTAAAGCTCTTTTATTTATTTACTTTTATCTTTTATTGCTGCACTACCAACTCACGTTCTTGTCTTTTTCTTGCACATTAAAATGACCGTTGTTAGTTTACACTTGTCCTCTTCACAACAGTCAAACCCGTTTATAACGAACAGCAGGAAACGCTACGATCAGTTCGATATAGAAAGTAGTTCGATATAGCGAAAAACATTTACAACGAACTTCCATGAGAGATTCTTTTTCATTTTCATCCCTTCAATTCCTCCTTGTAACAAAGTGCTAAAAAGTTGTTTTTTTTTGCATGTGTGCAGAGTTTGTTCTTTTAGGTTATCTCCCCTTCTGAATCGCATCTCTTTGTGAGCCAACGCTTTGGGATGAAAAGTTTTTTTTTTTCTGTGCATGCGTGCAGAGTATTTTTTTAGCTTTCTCTCCTTCTGAATCGCTTCTCTCCGCTCAATTTTGTTCACGGCTTGAGCTTCTGAAATTTTCTTTCTTTCTTACTTCTTTTTTGGGGAAAGGGACAGGCTAGAAGGCAATTGTTTGCGTGTTTTTGGAAGCCTTCCCGGGGGGAATAAGTTCGATATAGCCAATATGTTGTTCGTTATAAAACTTACTATTTACATGCGTACTAATTTAAATTTTCTGTGAGTTCGATATTGACAATAATTCGCTGTATGTGGGTTCGTTCTAAACGGGTTTCACTGTACTTGACCTTGTTCGCAGTGCTATTTGTGTTCCTGCTACGTATCATGAATGAAACGGCAGAAACAAACAGAAAGCACCACAGTCTATAGACACCTTGTTGGTTCTCTGGTTGTTCTCCTCTCATATTTCATGGCAATGTTGACAGTCCTTCTTTCGTGAGCTGATCTCATTCTTTGCTGGAACACCTCCGAATGACGGCCATGGGACTTTGACCGCAAGCCTGCGTTGCACTCCTTCTTGCAGGACCGGTATGCAGAGATGGGTGAACCCAAGTTCCTCTATGGGTCACACTACTCCACACCGGGCTTCGTCCTCTACTACCTTGTCCGCAAAAGTGAGCGTTTCCATCCAAATGCTTGACCAGTCACTCGCAATGCTGGGGTCACTTCCATATATAATGGAAATTGTCTCGGAAGCCTGAGACAGAAGTCCCGTGTCCAGGCGACGGTACAAGATGTTCTGAGAAAGTTAGTTTCTGTATCGGTTCAGATGCAAAGAAGAAAAGGTAGTAGCATTATACGCTAGTGGCAAGTTTGGGATGATTCTACCAGATCAGCCGTTTTACCAGATTCCAATGAAAGGGACCCACACTTTTGTTCACACTCCGTTCACCCTTAAGCTGACGGCCCAGTGGGAGCTCTACATGCTTGCCAGATCAACCAACTGCCTCTCTTTCATCATTTGACCCCGCTCTCCGTGCATGGGTGGGCCAAAGCGTATGATGTATGTACGTATATGTGTGACTGGCCCAAAGAGCCCATAGTTTCTACTGCCCTATCAGCTTGGCCTTAAACAGTATATTAATCACCATTTAACGAGCCAAGGTGAGGAATGCCAATACAATCGAATCTTGTCAATTCAATCTCTGAATTCAAACTTGCAGATAATTCAAATTAACATGCAGGTCCTATCCAATGCGTTTCTATGGGAGGAAACTCCCGTGCTTTATTCAAACAAATGTTCAGTCCCCCTCGAGTTTGAATTACAGTAAAACCTCGTTATAACAAAGTTGAAGGAGCGGTTGTAATTATTTTGTTATAACCATTAGTTTGTTATAGCCAATGTCTATTTCTTCCCACTATTAGCAAGCAAGGGGAATTATGATTGCTTTGTTATATCCATTAGTTTGTTATATCCCATTTTGTTATAACGAGGTTTTACTGTACAAGATTCAACTGTAGTTGTACTTCAGGAATATAGGCATTCCGAGTTTAGCTGTCAACCAAAGATGATTTCTGAAGCTTTGTACAATAGTGTTTGTACGGTTCTGCTCAAATGACTCACAGGATTATGACAATAAACCCTGAAGCTGGGAAAAGATTCATGCAGTAAGAGAGAGAGAGAGAAGAAAAAAAAGTGGGGAGGAGTGGAGACGGACAACCGTCCTGTTCAATATATACCAGCTCGTCTGCACGTTAAGCCTTTTCTTTTTTTTTGTTAATCATACAAGATCTTTTGCATTGCTCTGCTTTTCAGTGCCTCAGTACATGCTCTGCCTACAGAATGGACATTTTGATCGCCCGGACAGGATGTTCAACAGGTGAGCTTGCTGGTCGTTTCATTCGTAGCGGTCATTTTTCTAATCCTACTAGGCTTGAATGACTGTGCCAATACTTTTCGGGTAGCGTGTCACTGAGATGAGATAGTTGAGAACCAGGTTCTGCTCAAAACATATTTCTGGTTTATTATTATAGTATTCATGCTTTCGGCTGAAAGCTAACGCTTGAAACTGTGGAAGTTTCAAGATGCTGGATCTGCACCAGCTTGCTCCTGAATTTTCCATTTGCACTATGGAATCTAAAACAAGGAGTACATAATGATTTCCTGTTGCCGTAAACAAAAGCTCGAAAAGGGTCACTTCAAACTGTACTTATGAAATTTTAGAATTTTCTGTTGGAACGTGAAAGCTCTTACAGTTGATTATATTAATAGGGAATTTAAATATAACTAGAAATGTACACAGCATATTCAGAAATAAGTTAGTAGTTACTGTCACCATTTATCCTTAGTCACCATTTATGATTACCAACACTCGAGTAAACAGCAACAATGAAGCAGCAACAATTTGAACCCTTTTTCTCTCAAGATGGAAATGATTGATAGCGTAAAATGCTGCTAGAAGATGTGAGATGTTGCCCGGCCCCGGGCATTCTTCGCCTGTTGGATGCATTGATGTCAACAAACACACCGTCGTCTGTGGCCCGCTTTCGGACAGTGAAATCGTGAAAGTGGTTAGGCCTAATTTCATATACTCCAAGTAAATGCTTTTTTTTTTAATCCGCAAGAGAACGGCGCAGCGAGGTGCACACTGCGTCGTAGGTTTAGAGTGTCTGGTAGCCCCTGGTAACAGCAGTCTCCGTGAACGAAACTTGATCCGTGCAAGTGTGCCTCAGCGGTTGGCGATTGGACTTCGTACGAGTTCTTATACGCGTAGTCGCGACATATACCTGAGCACGCCGCCGGATACTAGCAATATATATCACCTAAGAATGGTCGCATTGCTCTCCGTGCTGAGTGAGCTTTGTAGAGCGCTTTTCCTCCAGCAAAAGGTATGCTGAAAGCAGCCTTAAAGGTTCCCAATTTATAAAGCAGGATTACTGCGGCGCACCCCCGACCAGCCGCGGGTACGCCTCCATCAGTAGAGACAAGCCCAGTACCTTGCCGTGTCATATTGGCACCTAATACGACATCTGCCCGAAGTGTGTAAATGCAAAAATTTTGCCCTGTGTAATAAACCCCCCCCCCCCCCCCCCCCCCCCCACCCACCCAAAAAAAAAATGGGTCAATTTTTTGGGGAAAAAAGTGTGCTCGTTATGCGAGTAAATATGGTATATAAGTATTACAGTTTAGTTTCAGATTCATGTGTGGATCATCCCCCTCTTTCGTTCCTCGGTCTCAGGTTTTTGGGATGCTGATCTAGCATCTCTTGATTAAAACAACTGGGTGATTTCATTAGAATTCGACCAAACTTGTCGGGGGGGGTCTTTAGATTTAATCGTAAAAAATATATATGATACCCGAATCCTTGTGATGAAAGAAACTGCCTTTGAAAAAAATTAGAATTGTATAGTTTGAGAGAAAAAAATTCTGAGGCGCTGCAGGGTAGAACACGTCAAATTCCCAATTTGATTTTATCTCGACTTTAGCCGCCATTTACAAAATATCGAATTCTTGCAGAATTATTATATTTATTACGCAATATTTACGCAGACTTGGCTATTTTTAGAGGTAAATTTCTGTCTTCTGTTATTTTAAATTAATGTTCTAAAAAATCTCAAACATGCAACCTAGAGCAAGTGTGACGCAACTTCGGACAGCTATATAAAACGAACGGTAGGGCGCAATGACGTGAGACAGATATCTGTGTGTAGCTATCAATGTAAGCTATCGATTGACATGTATTTTCTGGTTATTGTGTTTACCGTGTTGTTTTTATTCTGCCACAAATATAGACAAAAATGAAAAATATGCAAATTTTGAAGTCAATTTTCTCAAAAAAGCCATTTTTTATTTCGTTCATACTTTTTTAATTCATTGCCCAGATTCTGCTTAATAACCGGGTATAAATATTGCTTGACCTTTTTTTGTTGTAGTTTTAGGACAACCAGTTGAATAAGTCATTTTTATCGCGTAATACCAACCTCCGGCTCCGGTATGCGGGCTTCACCGCAACATTGATAATTGGCTCAGCAATATCAGATTTCACTGACAACCACTTTACCTCGTTGCATTCCTAGTAATATACTTTTTACAAAAAAAGAAATGTCACAAAAAAATGACAGAAGGCAAGTGGCGTAGGCAAATTTTTTTTTCTCTTTCAAACTTTTTTAATTGATTTCCCGTGTGTTGCTTACCAGCTGGGTATGCACGTTTTCTGGCACTTTTCTTTATGTTTGTTTTTACATCAAAAGAAAGAGCCATGTTCGTTACATCAGTTGCAACTGGTCCAGTTGTTAGGTGAAGTATAGGTTCAGTAACCTCTTCGCGAGCGCCAGCAAAAGGCTGCGATTCTTATCATGAAGATTACCATGCGACTCTTAGTTGACCTCGGCGTGCGCTGTTGCAAGAGGGTTATGCTAATCTTGTTAGAGCGGAACTCGCGTCGTCACAAGCTGTCGCAATGCATCACAGCGAAGTGGAACTGTGTGAAGCAGTCCTTGTCCTTCTCCCAATAAATTTATGGGCGGAAGCTTGAGACTCTTTGGTGCCCGAAGTTTCTGTAGCTCGGCTGGGTCAAGTTTGTCAAAAGGAGAAAACAAATGCAGTAAACACTAGACATTATCACGCCGGTCGATGGAGTCGTAACTGTATACATACAGCTTTTGCGGATACTTATTTGTTTCAAGGGTGGCAAGTTATCACCAGTACAAACATGGCCACAGTGTCGGCAAGAGCATCAGAACAAAAAGGAAGGTTTGGTTGGCTTATCATTTTGTGTCTTCGTTGCAGCGCTTTTCTCCGGAACTAATGTTTGTAGTCCTCTTTGAGCCCCTGGTGCTATGGTCTGTCTGTTTCTCTTATCCATTATTTATTTTTACTTGTAAGCGAATAACACGCACCATGACATTTCTGGCGTCCTTAGGTTGATTCGCTAATCAGTGTCTATATTTGCCAAACTCATCTAGTATAAGAGAATAAAAAAAATATAAGAAGAGGGCTTGCAGCAATGAATTTGTATAAGAGAACTGCGGAACTGCGTCGAAAGCAGAAAGCCGGAACCTCCCGAGGAATGAACGCGTTATTTTGAACTCAGTCATGGCTGCAGTTTTCAGCTTTAAAAGAAAGAGTTGCGCGGACTACTTCGAGAGACATAAGCGAAGGGTATACCGCAACCGACGTTTTCGTTATGTCACCGATCTCAACGTAGACGCCTTGAAGATGATCCTGCCTCCATCGAAAGCCGCGGCTCTTGCGTTGGATGACGTGCTCTGCCAGAACTGCTTCCAGTACACCGGTGAGAAGCTTTCATCATCTGTCAGTGATCCATGCTCGAGCTCTCCAGCAAGCTGCATCGAAGAGCACGAAGTAGTGGAAGGTCTTAACGAAGAGATTTCTGCTGCTGGGCTTGAAACAACTCCTTTGCGCATGCCTTCTACAGTAAACCCGAAAAGCCGTCAGGCATATGCTAAAAGAAAACAGCGGGAGATTGAAGGATCACACAGCCGACAGGTACGAAAAAAGTTGGCGACTGCATATACCTTGGAGCCAAGTGGGTCAAGTTCTCGCAGTGATCAACCATGCCTCGGCTGCGACGGGTGGTGGGCAAACATCAGAGAGGCCTTTGTGAAGGCGGCATCTTACCAGGAGAGATGTCAGCTCCTCACGCTTGTGCCCAAGGGCGTAGCCACTAGGGAGGTAGAACGGCTAATTCCTGAGGCATCGAAGTACCTTCTGAAGAAATCAAAGCAGCTTCGTGAACGGTTCGGCGTATGGGAGCGTCCGGAGCCTTATCACGGTGGAAGCATAAGCGAGGACACCATACAGGCAGCCACGCAATATTACACCGACGACGATCTCGACTGTTCTCGGCAGAGCCCAAACAAAAAAGATGCTGTTAAGCTTCTGAAGGATGGCGAAGAACATGTGGTCGTGAAGCGGTATATGACAAGGTCTGTCCGAGAGACGTACAGGCTGTTTAAGGAAGCAAACCCGGACTCAAAATTAGGTCTGACTAAATTTTACTCGCTGCGGCCAAAGTGGGTCAAGCTAAACCCTGAACAGACTGTCTGTGCATGTGTGTGCTGTACGAATTTCGATTTGTGCTTTTCCACCCTGAACAGCATGCGAGAAGAAAAAATAACAAAAGAGGAGATTCTCGCTTTGTGCCTCTGCCCTGAACCCTCGTCCGAATGTTTCAGAGGCGAATGCAAGGACTGCCCCTCGACTGACAGACTCTCCCTAGAATCATTGGAAATGGTGCCTGAAGAGGAAATTACATTTTTCACATGGGAGAATGGTAATTTGATAAGCAAGACTGCCGACTCCAGCGCCTTTTTGAAAGAGCTACAGAAATGGGCCACAAGGTTTTCCACGCACAATTTTATTCGTAGGACACAACGGGAAGCCATACGGATTGAGAAGTCTAGTGTGACCTCAAGACACATCGTCATGCACTTCGATTTTGCGGAGAACTGGACGGTAATTTTGCCACACGAGATACAGGAGTACCACTGGCACAAGCGTCAGCTCTCTGTGTTCACGTGTGTGGCATCCACGTCGCAAGGCTCAAAATGCTTCGGCGTTGTCTGTGAGGACTTATGTCATGACACTTCCCATGCGCTGCTGGCTCTGAGACTTATAGAAGACTGGCTGGAGGAGCACATCCCAGTTTATGCTTCACTAACGTACATATCCGACGGGGCACCTGCTCATTTTAAAAATAGATTTCAGCTGCATGAGTTCGAACGAGTGGGCCATACCCAATTGAAGTGGATATTTTCTGCCTCTGGGCATGGTAAAAACTCTTGTGACAGGGTTGGAGGGCTTCTCAAACACCACGCAACGGTGCACAACCTCCGTTTACCGGAGGAGCAGCTCGTCCGAACATCAGTAGATTTTGTGGACAAGGTTGGAAGGCGTGTCAAAAACGTAACTCTCATGAACTTAACCGAGAAGGAGGTGAGTGACTTCCGCAGAATCAAGAAAACAGAGTGGAGTTGCGTACCGACTCGGAAAGTCATCCGCGCTTCGCACGTGTGGCGACGCGGAAGGGGCGAAGTGCAGCTTGAGCGAACTGTTCTATCTTCGTCTTAATGCATGAACCTCTGTGGTGCACGTGCGGAACTCTCAGATGATCTACGGCTTTGTTTTGTTTTGTTGTTAAAGCCTCTTCTTGTACATTTGCACTTCTGTGAAAAATTATGTGTTTCTATAGGTGTGCCTTGTTAACCCAAATAAATTACTCAATAAATAGAGTGATTTTGTTAAACTGTTACCTATGAATGTTTTATTGCATACTGCCAACAAAAGAGTATGATTACTGTAAGCTGAAAAGCAACTTCCGATATGCTGTGCGTAGCCCAAAAAATTTAAACGTCTGCAACAAGTAGTCCAAAAGCCGAAGGATGAACAAAATGTAGTCAATTTTTTTTTCACGTACCTCGGAATACTAAGGGCCAATGAAGGATAGGCGAAAGAATGCCATGCGGTAAATTTAAAAAATTCGAGCCGATTTTCCGATAATGTTTGTATAAAATAAAGATTGTCCGAAACGCATAAACGGGGATATTGTTTTTCTGGACTGGATAGTGCCGTAGAATGCAACCCGACATGATCGAAACGGATGAAACGTCTTGGATCTCTCCACTCGCTTAGGCTAGTTAACATTGATGTTAACTAAATTTACTTTTGTTGTTGTTTATCACGGCACAATGTTCAAACAAATAATTTAAATATATAAGTTTCGTGCAACCTCAGTAGTAAAACGTTGTCGTGGCGACGTTCAAAAATGCAAGCTGTGACTTCGCAGACATCACTTCATCAATTCAGCCATCTCTCATTTCTTTATGACGTTACTGATTTTTTTTAAAATATATTTGTAAAAATTCAACGGGGTAAAGTAGTTTTCAGTGAAATCTGATATTGCTGAGCCAATTATCAATGTTGCGGTGAAGCCTGCATACCGGAGCCGGAGGTTGGTATTACGCGATAAAAATGACTTATTCAACTGGTTGTCCTAAAACTACAACAAAAAAAGGTCAAGCAATATTTATACCCGGTTATTAAGCAGAATCTGGGCAATAAATTAAAAAAGTATGAACGAAATAAAAAATGGCTTTTTTGAGAAAATTGACTTCAAAATTTGCATATTTTTCATTTTTGTCTATATTTGTGGCAGAATAAAAACAACACGGTAAACACAATAACCAGAAAATACATGTCAATCGATAGCTTACATTGATAGCTACGCACAGATATCTGTCTCACGTCATTGCGCCCTACCGTTCGTTTTATATAGCTGTCCGAAGTTGCGTCACACTTGCTCTAGGTTGCATGTTTGAGATTTTTTAGAAAATTAATTTAAAATAACAGAAGACAGAAATTTACCTCTAAAAATAGCCAAGTCTGCGTAAATATTGCGTAATAAATATAATAATTCTGCAAGAATTTGATATTTTGAAAATGGTGGCTAAAGACGAGATAAAATCAAATTGGGAATTTGACGTTTTCTACCCTGCAGCGCCTCAGAATTTTTTTCTCTCAAACTATACAATTCTAATTTTTTTCAAAGGCAGTTTCTTTCATCACAAGGATTCGGGTATCATATATATTTTTTACGATTAAATCTAAAGACCCCCCCCGACAAGTTTGGTCGAATTCAAATGAAATCACCCAACTAACTTGGAGTTCTCCTTTGTCTCCATTTTGCATGTAGTGTCTTTGTATACTGAAAGCATTTAAAGAGGGTGGGTTTCTTAAAATGGGGAAAAATCTACTACATCAGTATGTCAAATTTCTGCAGTACCAATATTATACGCATACTTCAACCTTGCTTCACCATATGCATATCTTCTCTTTACCAGTCTTTCTTTACTGTGGTAGGGTTCTACTGCGATTCTTTTGGAATGTTATCACCGTATGGCATGAGTGTAATGTTACAATCAATGGACTAACTACCTAAAATTTATGAGTTCACTGTTACATCTTCTTTGGTGGCACATGTCATTCAATAATAATAGGAATGAAGATTATTATTTTTTTATTTGCATCCTAAAGGGCAAAGCGGTGCTGTTAGGGGCTGTACGAATAAATGAGAACCCTTATGCAGAATGCCTGCCCACCCGCCACAACCTGCGGAAAAACAAAGCAATAACATAAGCAAACTAATTGCACGTAAAACAGGTAACTACTGTGAAAAGAAGCTGGGGTGGAGAATAGTGTTGATCACCAGGATGCCAATGAAGCCCCATACACCCTAGACGGCTCCTTCGAGTCACTTCTGTCAGTTGGCAGAGGGTTCCGCACATTCAGGGAGAGTCAAAAACTCTCCCGTGACTGCTGAGAGCGTCAAAGTACTGTGGCACGTCATCCTTCCCCGCTGCTCTTTGGGTTTGACGGCTCTCCTCCCAACTTATGTGACTGGGGAGGTACGAGCCAGTCGGAGATCCGTCCAGGACTCTGCCTGCCTGGCGCGTGCAGGACACTCGACACCTGCGTCGAAAGGGATGCCACCCAACTGCCTTCAGCCGTTCGTTGTAGGTCTTGTCCGGCCCGAAGGAATTACCGCTCAGCCTAGAGAAAATAGTCCGAGATGCCCTTTGCTGGACGCTCTTGATGCAGTCGACCAAGTGTTGCTGAGGTGAGAGCCACATGAAGCAGCACTGCTCAAGATAAGTAAGCACCATCGTCGTGTATAGAGTGCACGGTGCAGCTGGCTCGCAGGATTTCGTCACTCGTGCGACAAAGCTCAGCATATGCCGGGCCCTGGCAAGAGAACCAGCGACATGGGCCGCAAAATCCGGCGTTAGAGTGAACACCACTCCAAGGATGGTGAGCGTCTTGCAGGGCAGCAGGCTGGCACTCATGAGTCTGTATACAGGTGGAGCGATTTTTCTGCTGGTATTGAAATGCATCACACCACTCTTGTTGGGGCTCAGATGGAGGTGCTTGGCAAAGGGCCCAGTGCACTTCTTTGAGTAGCCCTGACCCTGGGTCAGAAACAGGCGACAGGACGAAAGTGCCGTTGGCATACTGGAACACCGCAGTCTCTCGCTCTGCAACACGTCGTTTACGCACTCATAAGGAACGAGATCGGTCCGAGAGCCGAGCTCTTGGGTACGCCCGACTCAACTTTTCACAAATCATAGCGCTGACTTCGGTCAGCAACAAAGCCACACAGCCACACCGGCAAAGGGCCACTTATTCCTGCACCAAACATTTTCTGCCTTGGGGTGCTCAGGTTGAGGGTGTCGAAAGCGCTTTTCAACTGTACGAGATCCATTGCCGCCCAGTTGTCCACGCTGTTACCGGTACACTGGGACACAGTCTCGCAACTCCCGTCTCGACGAGACCCAATCGACGGCGATATATACAAAGTGTTTTCGAGAAAGTCTAGGAGGCAAGAGTTGAATTTAGAAATGAATTAAAATAGACCGCATCAGTTGCTCTATTTTGTCGCGATTAGGGAGGCTGTAGTGAGGGTGGGTGCAACTCAAAACCTGGAGAGCGTTTGCAATTTAATGGCGGCGCCAGAGGGAGAGGGTTCGAGAAAGGATATGCGCCAGTGTTGCCTGCACGAGAGCAGGCGCCCGCGCTGTTGCAACTCTGTTGCTCCATGCGCCTTTCCTCCTCTCGCCTCCCATTGCAAGCAACGAGCGCCTTGGCGCAGCCTCTCTCGCTTCCTTCTCGCTCCGAGAATTGCAAACATCGAGCGGAGAAAGCAAAGTTGCCAGACAAGCAGCAACGTCCAAGATGGCGGAATTTACCATTTTTTGCGTTAAAAAAATACTTAACCTATCGCAACAAAACTGGTGGCTATGGAAAAGTGATCATTTATACCTTGTGTAAATTATTCAAGCACCTTAATGGGCTTTTATGACCCGAGTTAGGAAAGAAAACGACCCTTTGCCCCATAGACTCCCAGCAAAATTTAGCAATTAAATGGCGTCCATGTCCTGTGATCGCCGATCTAGCAGTTGCACCCACCCTCACTTGAGCCTCCCTAGTCGCGATGCCACGGCGACTCTAAATGGCTCGCATCACTCGCAGCATTCCGGACACGTGGAGGAACGTGACGACGGACGCGGCAGACTTCAAGGAGCTCATTCCGGAGTTCTACGACACGGCCTCCAAGGGCGACTTCCTGATCAACTTTCTGGTGAGCACCGCACTCTGCCGCCATGGCGCGGGGAATGCATCTCCGACTGGCATGTTTACCGCAGCTTCATTTACGCTCCTCAATGTTCGCCCCGACGACGTCGCGCTCGCGTTGTCTGCTTCCAAGATTCAGGCGGCGGCACGGTAACAGAGGTGAGTGCGAAGGATGGCCCTTACGCCGTAGGCCACTCTCCAGCTCTACCGCTCGCGGAAGCTTTGGCAACCATGAGTTGGGACGCCGCGACAATGGCAATGCCTGTGTTTGCTAGTCTTCTAACCGCCAAGATTGCGACGTCCGACGCGCAGCATGCTGGCTCCCACGACGTAATTTGTTGACACTTCGGAGCGGCTTCTGATGCGCGGGCGGTACGGAACGCTAGACACGCTGGTTGAGGACGCATTCCAGGCGCCGTAATATGCTGCCGGGAAAATCTGCCGATGTTCGTGCTGAACGGGGGGCTCATGTTCCGGATTGCAGAACCTGGACTTTGGACGGAAGCAAACGGGTGAGGCGGTGGGTGACGTGGAGCTGCCACCTTGGGCGAAGGGTCTGTTCACTCCCCACTCCTTTTTACTATGTTTGTTTGTATGTGGAAGTGAGTTTTCGGCAGCCTTTTGACCATGGCTTTTGTAATCATCATAACCATTTCATTTCATCATAGGGTGCAGTCCATTTATAACAATGCTACATAAAACAATACCTGCTCATAACAATCAGTTCCTAGACTAGAAACAATCAGTCTCTAGTTCAGATACAACGATAATCGGTTATAACGATTGAATTTTCGTGTTTTCTCAACATCGTTATAAGTACTAAACTGCTTTATAATCATTTCATGTGAAAGATTTTGGTGTGTGCATACATAGTGCCTTGACCTTTAAAAATTGTTTATTTTTTATCGTGGTTAGAACATTGAGAATATTGGGAGTTGTTTCATGCTTGTCTTTACATTTTAGAAACCCTTATAGTGGCTTGATTCATCTTTTCAACTCTTTGGTAAGGTTGCGACTTCAATTTTGCATCCGTGATATGGAATTTGCTATAAAAATATGAGCCATGAATATTGAACACATTCGGAAAATACTAATTTGTGTGATTTATGACGGGTATTTAGAACAGTGTATTTATTATGACTATGAATATCTGCATTAATATGGCAATTTGGGCCAGTTGGTACATGATCGTAGACAGGCGCTGAAAAATACAAGGACAAGAAGAAACGTAAACACTGGTGCACTCGCAACTAACATTTATTGAAAAAACTAATCCCTTACATAGCCGTGACAAAACCCTTTGTCACGACTAGGCACAACTAGGCACGTCCTCTCTGTCCTTCTGTCCTTAACACGACACGTGACATTTAGCGTCGTCCTAGAGGACGACGCTAAATTTAGTGGTAAGTTTCCCCTTCTAAATTTAGCCGCAAAAGTGACGTCACAACCTATGCACCAATTCAGTTTCCTCGCTAAATTTGGCAATGTGCAATGATAAATGCTATTGCATTCATAGATAGTGTGTTTTCTACAAATTTGCCTTGACCATGAATATGCTGCCTTGTAATTTTTTAAAAGAAACCGATAGAGACTGTGTCGTTCCTTTTGTGTTTTGTACTACCGTAATACCCCCCAGAAATGCCCCACCACTGAAAGATGACCCATACGTATATTTGGCTTGATTTGCTATTTCTTTTTTAAACATTGAAGGAGAGCCCACTTTTAGTAATCATAGTATTTGGATCAGTGATGGCCTTGAAATAAATGCAGCTAGTTGCCTATGATGGGAAGTACAGCCATCTTTGCTTCATTGCAAACATTGCTGACGGGGAAGTACAGTCATCTCTGCTTCGTTGCCTCTCGTTGTGGTAACAAGTTTAGCAGGAACGCATAATTTAAGTCATGGATGAAGAAAGAATAAAACAATTAAAACAGGGACAACACAACCACATCTTTCATGAAAGACGTGGTTGTGTTGTCCCTGTTTTAATTGTTTTATTCTTTCTTCATCTATGACTTAAACCAACATGCTCTTCTCCCAAGCATAGCATAACCTAAAAATAGCATTTTTTCAACTTTTATGGAATGTGTACCTAAAGTTAGCCCATGCCTTACTTTCACCCGACTTTCTCTTGATTTTAGGTGGGCCATCTCTCTGGATATCACGATACATTTGTATTAGTGTGTCTTGAGTGTAATCTTGTATATATTTGTTTTTTATGGTGTTTTTGTGGAAGAGCACCAATCTAAAGACCATTGTGGTTGTTTTGGGCACTTTAAATAATAATAATAATGATAATAATTATTATTATTATTATCATCATCATTCTCTTTCATCCCTGTATTTTTATTTCCTCTATCCTCTGAAGGCGAGTACAGAATTGTCAGCTAAGACCAAACCACTTCTAACACCTCCGACTTCTCTGCTGATTCAAATAAATGGTGCAAAAGCCTACTGACCCTTAACCCATTAATGCTATAACTAGGATATATTTGACTCATAGTTATGTGTGAGTGGGTGGCTCAGATTTTCTGGAATAGTGGTTTAACAGTAAAAACACTCTACTACTTACTGACAGGGACACTCAAAGAAGTTTAGGGGCTGCTTGGGGAGCCCAGGTGAGTACCTTGAACCCTGGGTTCGTGGGAACCCAGTTTAGGACCCAATTGTCTAGTCCAACCTCTCTGTCCTTCTGTCCCCAACACCAATCAGTCACTCTTCACAACATTGTGCAAGCTCTGGGGGTACGTGCAGGCACGCTAGGGTGTTGCGAAGATGCAAAACCGAGCAGCATAGAAACGGGACGACACGCAAAAGTCTGGGATGTCTGGTTGTAACGTTCCATTTCCAAGTTTTGCAATTTTTTTTACCAGATTTACCGGCTCGCAGGAGGCAAGCTGGGAAATCTTCGGCCCTTTTCAGGTTCTTCTGAAGTTAGTGTAAGAATGTACCAAGACATCCGTCTCATTTCTGCATCCTCAGACCCTGCGCATTTCATCCACACCTGCCGAGAGGCCCTGGAGTCTAATTTCGTCTCCGAAAACCTGCACAACTGGATTGACCTGGTGTTCGGCTACAAGCAGACCGGAGAAGAGGCCGTCAAGGCCGACAATGGTATGCGGCTCTCGTGCCCCCGCACTCTCGCGGGTCGAGCCTCAGCCTTGCTCGGTCCTAGAGCACTCCGATTTGCTCAGAGGGCAGGAAATTGTTTTCTACTGCATAGGTACCATTCTTGTTACGTGCCTTTGAGTGTCAAGCACCGTGAAATGGGCAGACATTGAGGCATTTTATTATCACAGACGGCAAAGAAACGCATTGTGGCGAATTATCGCTTCGCAGCCAACGACATTGCAGCATTATCTGATAAAAATGTGAAAGAACGGAGCGAGAAGTACGAGATCGTTCCTTTCAGAAAGTGGTTCCTATTTTTAATATTTGTGCTTTAAGTTGGTTTCGTGTTGAATTAGCAGACTTTACTGATTCCTTACCTGTTCATGTTTCACAGATGAGTTCTTCATTAATTAATACTAGGCCGTACCTGCTATAATGCTTTGGTACTGCAGGCTGTTTTTCTAATTAAAATAAAATAGCATAATGAACAGCGCCCCGCATTTCATTGGTCGTCAGTGACTATAGTGAACGCTGAGGGTGCCTCAAAGTTCGTGCATCTCATGTCGGTTAGAACCGTGCAAATAATGATTTTTTAATTTGATGCAAATGCGAAGCAAATAGTTCCTTCGTACGAATAGTTTCAAATCGAATCAATAAATTTCGAAGTGAAGCGCATAGCTTACGGCCATCAATACAGTCATGATAAAGAATCCTCGAACTAAGAAACAAAATAAAGGACAAACATGACGAGGTCTGAAGGCTTCTCTAATATGATCGTTTGCCAGCTCGCCTGCGCAAATACTCTTATTTGAATACAGATGGTTCTCAATAATAGGAACACTTTTGTTTCCCAGAAAATTTGTCCATAATGTGTCGTGCAGAGTAGTGAATCAAGGTCAAGACCACCATTAACAAGAAGCGGGGCCACAAAAGAAGTGGCTTATTTAGGGAAAATAAGACTCGTTTACACAGACACTTTGGTGTCGGCTATTAGAAACACTATCTGCAATAGATTAAAGAGAGTAGGCTTATTGCTTCCATTTTTATTGCTACTTGTGTTCCAGCCTTAGTTGGTGAATAAATTTAAAAATGTACTGCATGCTGTTTTCATTATTTTTTTTTTTGTCTGAATTAAGGTATTTATGTTCTGCAGCATTTCAAACTTTGAAGTACCTCTAAAATATTCGAAGTTATCAAATAGCCTTATGCGATTTGAACTTGAAATCAAATGGGCATTATTCTGTTCAATATTCTAAATTTTTTAATATTCTTAGAACACTAATGTAAGTCATTCTTGCAGTTGCAGCCACTGGAAGGCCGACAAATTATCGTACTGATGACTCTCAGAAATTCTTTTTTTGATGGTGGATTTGAACCTCAATTGGCTCTCTTGGCATAAATATTGAGCAACTTCAAAAAGTTTTCGTGAAAACATCACAACATGACAGCAGAGGAATCAACATCAAGGGTGCTCTTCACTGGCTCAGTTCTGGTTTAAAGCCATGTACATTGATGACATTTCTCGCCCCGTAGCACCCACGAAAAATTTTTTTATAAGAATATTACGTTACAGTTAGATTTCAATGAGCTCAGCGTCAATTGTACAGCTAAATTATCCCCTGAGAAATGAAAATTTGAAAACTTTTGTGAATCGGCTATCTTTAGAAAATTTCACCTTTTTCTAGTGGTCACCAACTTAGTCCCACAATTAAAGACCCTAATGCAAGATCCCCCCATTTTTTTAAAATTCTGATCCCACTAAAAAGAACAGCCCTTAAATCAATGTCATTTATTATGTCTGAACAGTATTTAAATAGAGAAAAAAAAGGTCTCAAAATCCCTCTTATAAATTCTGTTGTTCAATATCGTGTTTGACATAGCGAAACCACCTTTTTGTTCCAGTCTTCTTCCACCTGACATACGAAGGCAGCATTGACTTGGACCAGTAAGTGTTTGCCAACACTTACTTTAGTTAGCCGACAATTTTTTAGGAGCAGCAAATTTTCCGGTCTTTGTGGCATTCTGTGTAGAGTCTGCAAAAGAAACTTTAGAGTGAAATAATTAATATTTTTCTTAGTTCACATCTGGTTCACAGTCTGCAGACAGTGCATAGTCCTCACGTGGTGCCGAATCTGCACGTAAAAATTTTTTATACGCAGCATACGTTGACAAATGCCCACTTTATTATTTCACAGAGATGCATGTGTCATACAACATTGTCATTAGCCTACTACAGCAATGTATGGGCACCTCCATTCCCCCAGAAAAGCCTCCATAATGCGACTTGTCCATAATAATGAGTCAAAAATGCATCTTTTTACCCAGTTCCTCCCCAAAAGTGTTGTCTATATAGTAGGGTATCTATATTAACAAGTTACAAGTGTATGACATTCACAAAATCTGTCGCATCTCATCATAAATAATGGTGTAGAGAGAAGAGATCCTCGTATAGTTTGCACTTCTATATAGTCTGCACCACAAAAAGTTTCAATCTCGGTCAGGAAAGTCAGGAAAGTATGGTACTCTCTTTTCCCAGCGTGTAGCATTCGTAGCAGCAATCATAGCATCTCCTTGCAGGTTGCTTGCTTGCAGGGGTCCGTAAAGCATGACCATCTGTGAACAAGCAAAGCATGCTTGCCACTCTGTAATGAGCTCTTGATCAGTGTCTTTTGAACCAAAGATGCAAAGCATGCTCGTTTGTTTCATGTATGCATTTAGGCTAGCCTAAGCAACCGAAGAAGGATGCGTTGTGACAGTGTTCAGACTCGAACCTCGCATTGGCCTGTCTATTCAAAAAGAAGAGGTGAAGAGAGAGTTTGTAAGTGCTCTCTTTGTGTTTTGTGCACTTTGGTTATAAATAGGCCGTAGACTTTCCGGTTTTAACCAAAAAACATTGATAAAACTCTGCCGGTGTCAGAAAAAGACAGTCAGTTAAAACTGGAGACCACCGATAAATGTCCGTTGTTGTCAAAAATATAAAAGCAGTTAAAAACGAAAAACGCTTGTCTTTTGAAATTTTATGCTCCCACTAGGACTGTCTTTGTCTAAACGCTCCCCCTTAGACTTGAATTCTTAGTTTTTCATTAGGTGTTTTTTTCCACCCATTAACACCAGAAAATCTATGGCCTACTTATAAAGCTCCTTTTTCAGTAATTAAAGTGCTCCGATTCGCCAAAGTCCGACCGCGAAACTGGGGGAAAATGGGAGAGCATAACAGCCGGTCTAAAAAATAAAAAAAGATTTTTGTGTTTGCACTTTTTCATGTTTTGAAAATATACTGCAAAAGTCATTCGGTAAATTTCCCGAACGACGCGTCTACTAGAATCCGCTTGTCCCTAAAAAACGAGTCCTTCCCAGTGTCCCTCATATCACATAGGCATAATTCACATAGGAACTCTTGTCTAGGAAATGGGACAAAGCTGATTCATAAAAAGCAGTGTCTGCACAAATAGGCTAGGCTACATTTCAGCATAACTTGGCAAAGGAAGAAAGCTATGACCCTGGCAAACTAATCTGAGCATCGGAGCGAAATGTGTGACAGTGTGCCCTTGGAGCGCACTTCTTCAGTGGAGAGCTGTCATGTGCTTCACCCCGTCGCTCGGCAGCCTTTGCATAGCATGGTGGCAGTGCAACACTGACGCATAGCAGAACATAGGAGATCATAACATCTCATTTTAGCATTTTGTAGTAGCATTGCGTAGCAACATTGCTAAGCAGCATTTCATAACAGCATAACATAGTTTAACAGCATAGCATAGCGTAACAACATAGCGTAGCAAAGTGTATCATAGCAGCGCAACATAGCAGCAGTCAAGAACTTGATGCGGTCTCGTACGCAGCATCACGGACATCCACGAGCGCCACTCCCTGGAGGTGCAGATCATGGAGTTTGGCCAGACACCCCGCTGCATCTTCAGCAAGCCCCACCCGCAGAGGTTTTGCACCATCCTCCCGCGGTCGCTGAGCATGAACGACGACACCTCGGTTGAGGCGGCAGACGCGGAGAACGCTGTGACAGAGGGCGCCAGGCACCCGCGGTCCTCGAGCCTTGTCTTCACTTGGCAGAGGGACATGGCACAGTTGAGCAAGGTGGCGGAGCACAGCCTGCACAAGGAGTGAGCTGTTTGAGGAGTGCTATCACCCTTTACATTAACTGAAAGCTTGACAAGCTTGATAGTAACAGCTTGTACAGTAGACTTTCAATAATTCGATGCTCACGGAGACAGCGAAATGGCTCAAATTCAGCAAACTATTCAGAAAGCAATATCAAACCAGGTTTTTTTTATTTGGTACTCACTCATGAGAAGTTAATTGTTTCTTGCCTCCACTGATGGAGACGTGCCACAGTAACTATGCTTTACATATTTCAAACCTTTTCTGGGACATCTTAGACATTTTCTTTGCCTAAGAAAAAAATGTGTAGTAAACTGCTGGGAAATTATGTTACAGAAGAAACATTCTATTATCGCTCCAAAACGTTGCCAAGCCCAGTGCCTATAGGCTCGTGGCGTTCTTTTTCAGATAACTTGACGCATGGCATATAAACTTGATAAGAGTTCCTGAAACGAAGATACTGGCGCTGGTCGGGTTTTAAAGTCGGGGGGGGTTTTCTGGAACCTCCCATACTCACTAGAATCAGCCAATGATCATTGATCATGTGACCTTTCCACCAGCCAATTGGCATCGAGCTTCGCGGTCAATTTTTTGCGCTTCACTAAATCTGGAGACCCCCGCTGATGAGACAAAGAAGGTTCCACATTAAAAAGTCCCCTAGAATGCCCAATGTACTTGTTTCCTTGTTGGCGGCGCTTGGCCCAGAAAGCGACAAAGCGGTTTTCTGTCCCATGGCTTGCCACCTGCACAATATCACTTTCCTAGAGTGAACCACAAATTTGGCATGTTTGATAGCATCGATGCATTCGATGGACACAACATCTCCGAGGGGTGGATAATTCCTCGAGACCAGCTTTGTTGGCTGTGCACATCGCGTAGCTGTGCTGTCGACTTCTCCCGTAACTCTCATAGGGGCGGCGTTAGGATGTGTGTGCCCGTGGCCTTACTCGGCTTGGCAGGTTAGCCACATGCCACACTCATTGCCTTTATTTTGACCACACTTACGATAGATAAAAGTGATAAAGTGTGCATGGGTGTGGTTTAAGCTTGGTCAGCATAATCGTGAGGTTTTCTAACGCTCCCAGAGTTACCAGACTTCTGGAGCACACAAAATCCCTCAAATTACTGAGACCCAGAGAAAAAAAACTTTGAACTACCACATTCTTTTCCATAGACTCGTATGGCGGGACCACTCCCATGCTTCGAACTAACTGCATATTCAAATAGGGTGACTTTAAATTACTGAGAGTCGACTGCATTGTGAGTGGGCAACTCAAGGAACCCGCAGTAACTTTGAAGGATTGAAAATTTATAGTAATTTCTAGAGGCAGCGACGTCTCGTCCACTCTGCTAATTAGCCTGTTGAGCAAAACTATGTTAGCAGAATACTATTTGGGTCATCTTTGATTTTATAACTTTAAAAGCAATTCGCTCATGCTACGTCCATCATCAATCAGCATGTGTCATAAATAGGGCTCCGTGTTTTTGGATAAATCCGAAAAACTCGAAAAAACACCAGACGGTAAAATTTTGGTCAATTCGGATTTATCCGATAAACTCCGAATATTTATGTGTCAATGCCACCCCCTGGCAAAAGAAAAAAGTAAAAGACTTTTTTTTTTTACAGTTTGGTCAGTACAGAGCCAATAGTCCTGGGAAAATTCCACCCTAATTATCTTTCAAATCTCGGACGGTTGTCTAAAGGGGTCTTGCTGCTTGTCTCTTCAAGGTTGCTTCAGGGCAACAGGTCGTTCGTTGTACATTCGGGTCACAACAAAAGCCACTCTTTTGGTTTCCAGTTTGGGCTATGCGATTTGTGATTTAGAGAAAGGAAAGGGTATGTTTGAGTAACTGTGAAAGCTATGGACCATAGAGATTGTATAAAATAGGGAAGAGGGACAGTTCAAACTCTCTATTATCTCCTTAACCACTCCACCTCGCGTGGCCGCGGGCTAGAGTGACGTAATAGGATGAGATGGACTACGAGCTTCCTAGCGACTATCTCCGGGAGTTTATTAATTTTAAGGTATCGGCGTTTATTGATTTTAAGGTATCGGCGTTTATCGAAGCGCCACTTGTGGGTGACTTTTGTCATGGATAAATTAGTATTGCCAATGGCAATGGCACCAATGCCAAATTCAGCTGAAGATATTTCAATTGATACAAGCACGATTTATTTTTTATCTGGCATACATTTACATTTGGTTATTATCTATTTATTTTTAATAGGAAACACAGGGAAATTAAACTCTGAATATCAGAGAATTGGGAATAAAAAAAATATAAACTCCGAATCTTCAGCAAAAAATAAACTCCGAAAAATGCCCTCCGAATTTGACGAAAAGTAAACTCTGAAAACACAGAACCCTAGTCATAAAGGACTGCTATAAATGGTCCTGAAACCAAAGATGTGGCTCTTGTTTACAACATTTTTTTTTCCCTGCCTGGTGCTTTTATTAAGCTAAACTAGTAAATGGCTCATTTATCGTTCAGTGGAATTAAACTGTCCACTACTAAGAGTATTGAAATGCAGATAATTTTTTCCTTTTTTTTTTCTGGAGGGTAGCCATAAATCTTCCATTGTATTTGCAGGGGAATGAACAAGAACAACAAAGTTTATGCTTGTGCTAGGAAGTTCCTTATGCTGCTGCAAAAGGCACTCCTAAATGACTTGAGTGTGTTGGAATAGTGTGGTTCAGGTCAAATTGCACCCAGTCACTCATAGCCATTACCATGAAAAGGTAGACACTGATGCCTTGAAGCCTTCTGCGGTAGAAAGCCTAGGAATGGGAGTATACTGTGTGGTTTGAACCGCTAGCAGCACACGTTTGATATTTCATTTTGTCTAAGTGGACCAGAACTATTTAATCTACCTTAATGGCAATATGTTATAGATATTTTTTAGTAAGCTAGAATAATGTTTCATGACATGCACAGGCCCTAAAAAGCCATACACTCAATTGTTATCAGCAAAGGTTTTTGTTGTATTTATAAAGAAGACGCATCATCTTTTTCCAAAAGAATAGTAAAGTGGAAGCTGGCAGCTCTCAGAATCAATGGTTTCAGCTCATTTGGGTGGGAGTAACTTGCAAATGTCTGCCTTCTAAAAAGTCCTTTGTATACTTTTTAGCTCATTTCATTTTTTTGCTTAGTGGTATGTATCATAATTCTGAGACAAAACAGTGTATCTTACACCTGTTCCATAAAAGGATTAGGGTTCCTCTCCAGTCGAAGGCAAGCATTTTCAATTTAGTAGAAAAACCCTGAATATCCTCATCCAGGCAAGTTGTTGCATTTGCCACGAAATTGGAACTCCCCGTTTTAGTGGGTTAGTATTCAAGTTAAAGCAAACAATCATGTCGCTGATGTCATGTCGCAAACAATCATGTCGCCCACAGAAACACTCGAGAATGCTGATTGGTGTGAGGCTCCAGCTAACACTTACATGGCAGTTAAACTAGCTGCTTTTCATTTCTTTCTTGAGAAGCATTATCACTTAAAAAAAACATATTGTCATACATAATTTGATATACAGTTTATGGAAATTGAATTTTAGTGGAAGCTAATTTAGATTTTGAATTCTTCCGTGGCATGCGGTGGCACATTACGCGACTCGCTGTATGGAGTTGCGGTATCAGGATTAATTGATTTAGTGTCATTGGGTGTCAAGTTGTGAAGCATCACGTTACAGTGTCACGTGAGACTGTGCCATGCGACGGGACGTCACTTGACATCGTGACAGCTTGTGATTAATTGAAGTGTGCCAATAGAAACAATTTACGAATACAAACTTTGTACGTTGCAATCCTGCATGCGATGGTTGGATCAATAGATTAAGACACACCTGCCACTTTTTTTTGTTTGCATTGACTTCTAAACACTTGCATTGAATCCAGATATGAAAATTATATTTTTTTGTATCCTATAATTTGAGGTTGACACTTGCTCGCTAAATATATTCATTATAAAAAAAATAACAGGAATGTGCTGGGTAATCAATATTATTAACACAGTGTTTATGGACTGGATTTTGTGTAAAATGTGTTACGCATGAGTGTAACAAAAAGTTGTTGCATGCGTGCCAAGGCAACGTAAAGCCTACTTAGCAGCAGGCAATTGCATACAGATTCTGTGCTTCCCGGGACTGATTGAGACGAGTCTAGTAATCAAGAATGAAGAATTGTTATTGTTGCTATTAGAATTATATATGGCATTTCTTGTCAACTTCCTTTTCTTCCTTTTGTTTGCAGGACTGTCACAGATGTATGTTTTTCAAGGGACAAGAAGAGTGTCTTTTCTGTTTCACAAGGTGAGATTTTTTCACAGGCTTTTTAATGTTCAAATCTGAATGCTTCCCTCTTTTTATAAAGCTTTTGAATCAGTAAAAATGTCTGGTTTCTGGTTACAAGTCATAAGAGTACTTCATCTATGTTTTGCTGGGTATTGTCACCTTTCTTTTGCTGGAGTTCCATTAATTGTTTGTGCTACCCTACGAGACTTGTGTTGTCAGTAATTTGGCCACGTCAGTACAACCTCTCTTGCTGTACGTCCTCTCGTGAGTTGATGCCAGAGGGGAAAAGAGCCTTGTTTTTCATTCTTGCCAGGAACAGCGTGGTCCAATAGACTCTGTGCCACTTTTCTGAACAATTCCTTTTCTGTTGTCTTGTGTTTTCAGACAGACTGCTCAAGCTGTACTCTTTAGAGCTCAAGCAACAGATACGAAGCACGAGCATCTCTCAGATGGCAAGCATACCCTCTTCTGCATTTTTATTTTTGTTTACAAGAAACCGTTCTTAGGAAAAAGGATTCAACTGCCCTCAGTGTCCGAGCTACAAGTGGCATTAAGGATGCTGTCCCTCCTATTGCCATATATATAGAGAAAGGGCATGGGTAGCTAGAGTAGCAGGCTGGGTCTAGTTTGCCCGCTCTTTTTTGCACTCCTATCAGTTAGATGATTTAAACGTAAACCTAGTTGAGAAAATGTCTATCTAGTTGAGGTAAAATTATGATAAATGAAGTCACCACCAACCAGTCTCTAAGTGTGAGGGGGCCAAACGTGTCGAAACCAACTCGGTTTCTTTATCAAAGGCAACTGTGACCGTTGAGGAGCAGCTTCTTCTTCTCAGGGCGGGTATGGCCATTGAACCACTCTCGGAAGAACATTTAGGGGTTGATTGGTGGCGACTTTATTTATCACAGTTGGATGGTGCAAGCCACTGCATGATCTTAGTGCTGACAGTTATGGTTTCTTCTGTTGGCCCTTCTTCATAGTAAACCTGTAAGAATAAAGGTCAGTTCACACAGGGGCGCTTTCGTACATTACGTTATGTTACAACCATTTATGTCAGAAGTGCTTCGAATAAAGCGTGGCAACCAGTTCAAGGAGCAGCTTTGCACGCGACATGCGAAATACCAATGTCCCAGTGACTCCTCACGTAACGAGAGAAATCACAAGCAAACGTCTCTGTAAACAAACCTTAAAAAGCTCCTGAAAAAAAAAAAAAAATTTTTTTTTAAACAATTTGATTCAGACACGCATGTCAAAAAATTAATTATACATGAAAAAAAAAAATTGTTAGATCAATATTGATGATGTTTTTTTGTGACGTGTTGGTGCAAACAACCTTAGCATTGGACACTTCCTGCTTGCCCTAAACGTCTGGAAACCTAGAATTGTCAGGGAATCTTCCATATCAGTGGATGTACCGAATTGGGCACAAAGTTTTCCAAACTGGGGAAATGAAAAACAAATTAGCAGCCCCGCGTTAACCCACTGCACGGCCACGGCGATAGCTGCGACACACCACGGCGAAGTCGTTGGGCATCGCGTCTTGTTCACGCATCGGGGGTGCACAAAGAAAAGCGTTTTAAATAAAATAGACGTCTGACCATTTTGTTCCAAACGCTTTTATTCCTTTTTATGGCGATAGCTGTTATTGGCTTTCCCACCACTGAAAATGACGCCCATTGTTGACACAGTTACCTACTGTCCGTCATCGATGTTGCCGGATCCTCGAAAAAGACTGACCGCCACCCGCGAGAATTAAACCTGGTTCCGCCACATGCAAAGCGGAGGCATTGCCGCAGAGCTATGCCACAGCGTTAACGACCCGCTTCATACTTGGGGTTTTTGTAGTGCCCACTGCACGCACTCTCTGGGGAAAAACAATAGTCGATAACAAAATGCCGTTGTAGCGCCGTCAATGCCAAGAGCTCGTGGCGAGACTCGCGCTTTCATGCGCTCCGGAACAAAATCGTTGAATGTCAATTTTGTTCTAAACGCTTTTGTTCACGCACCCAACGGTGCAGGAACGCGACGCCAATACCCAACTACTTCACCATGACGTGTCGCAGCTATCCCTATGACTGTACTATGGATTAAAATGGGACTGCTATATTTTTTGTTCCAGAGAGGCACGAGCTCTTGGCATTGACGTTGCTACGGCAGCAGATCGTTTTGGGCTATTCCTTTATATTTTTTCAGGGAGTGTTCGCAGTGGACATTGCGTACTACAAAAAGTTAAACCCTACATATTAGAAGGGATGTTAACGCCCTGGTGTAGCTCTGTGGTAGCACCACCGCTTCGCACACGGCGGACCTAGGTTAGATTCCCGAGGGCGGCGAGCAATCTTTCACCAAGGATTTAGCAATTTCGGCGAAGAACGCCCTACGCCCCACCACACCAACTACAATATCAACAACTACAACATCAACAACGGATGTTCTTTCCAGTGGTGGAAAAAACCCATAGCAGCTATCACTGTAAAAAAAATATATATATATATACAGTAAAACCTCGTTATAACAAAGTTGAAGGAGCGGTCATAATTATTTCGTTATAACCATTAGTTTGTTATAGCCTAAAGCCAATGTCCATTTCTTCCCAATATTAGCAAGCAAGGGGAATTATGATTGCTTTGTTATATCCATTAGTTGGTTATATCCCCTTTTGTTATAACGAGGTTTTACTGTATTCTGTATTGCACTTTTTTTTCTTTTTTTGGCCCGTGTGTTTGCTAGATTTTTTTTCTTTTTCTGAAATTTAGTGAGGAAATTTTTTTGTGTTTCTGAAGATATAACTTACTTATCGAGGCATTCAGTTGATTCTCTTGACACATGTGAGATGGACGGATGGATGGATGATAGTGGCTGTAATCTTTTAAAGGGTTGGTTGCTCCTGGTTGTCAATCAGTGCAGCAAGCTGGTGGACGTTGGAAGAGTTTTGATTTGTGGTAGGCGTAACTTTGTGTGTGTTTCTCTGCCGCAGGCTCTTTCGTCATGCATCCTGATGAACGACCAGACCGTCGTGGTCTCCTCGTGGGATAACTATGTGTACGTTGTGACACGCTTGCAACAACATTGCACATGTCTCTCGTAGCAAGCAGTTTCCAGGGAATCTGAGTTTTGCATAGGGTCTATGTACGATAAAGCAAAACCACATACATCGACGAAATGTGTTGAGCATGTCGGATACGATTGATTCTGAGCTGCCTGCTAGGTATTTCATACAAAAATTGGACAAAAGATATGGAACTAAAATTAGAAAATGCTACTGAACGAACATACGGCTAACCTGCTTCAGACGGATTCCATGTAATTGCTGTGTGGCCTGAAAGTCGACCCTTATTGTCAGTATATTTTATTCTTAAAATGTGTACACAAATCTAAGATAGTATCATGTTGCTCTCCGCAGTTCCATTAGGGTTATTTATGGAGGTGTTCAAATGTAAAATTTTGGAATTCAGATTAAACACAAACCTTAAAAATTTACCACGAATCGAGCAGGATATTTTGAAACAGCTTAAAATGAATGGTAATTTAGCATAATGATTTAGTAAATTGCAACATTAGAGCTAGCAATATGCCAAAATATTTATTTTTATTAACATGTTACAGCATGCACGGTGAGTGCAAGTATTATGCAAAAGTTAGCAGGGCTCGGTGGGTCATAGCAAGTCTCTTTGGATGCCACTTAAAGTACCGAGTCACTTACACTACTAAATAGTTTTGAGTCATACTTTGGAGTTATTTTACGAACAAAGTATGATGCAGGTCATGCTTGTTAATTTTGGTCAGGTCCGGCGTTGAAACGACTCAACTGATGCATGGGGTGGATTCCCGTTGTCCACAACCGTACCCGCTTACTCTTGTTTACAGAAAAATAAATTAATATGGACTAATGCACGAATGCATAGTACAGGGGTTCTCAAGCTTTTTGGTCTCGCGGAACCCCAGGAAGCCTCAAAAACTGCCGTGGAACCCTCCCCCCCCCCCTCCATATTTGCCGGCCGAGAAGCAACAGATGCACAATTGTAGGCAATTTTGCTTGTGTTGCTTCCCATATATCCCCACCATATCAATCGCGATGTCAGTACAAAGTGAGATGAAGGCGCTTTGCATGGTCCTGCCACGCAGCCTGTGGCATGGGGGGGGGGGGGGGGTTGCAATTTGGGTGTTCGCGAAACCCATGAGACCAGCTCGTGGAACCCCTGTGTTCCCCGGAACCCAGTTTACCATCCCCTGGCATAGTAAAAAAGCAGATTGAGAACTTGGCTAACATGTGCTGAATCGCAAAGAACACGTGAAGTCAGAAGTTCATCGCTCCCTGTTTGATTTTCACACGCACCAATCTTTTGTGAACTTTAGAGACTGGAAATGTCTCCTATAGACCAACACGCTGTTTGCAAACAAGCTCTCACGAGATATGGGCAAATGCACAGTTTCCGCACAATATGCCAAATTCGCATCAAGTGGAGCTTGTGCTTGCATCCCGCCAATAGCAGTGCCACTGCAGCGGCATGACGTCAGCGCCGCGTGTTGGTTTTATAATAGAGCAGATGATCTATAAAAAGAAGTGATATTGTCTCGGGCCATTTTCTTTAAAGAAATTACGTACTCCAGATATATTTCAATAGTCCATCCGTCCCTGCAAAGTACTCATGAGCGGCATTTCACAAGGTCGTCATTAGAAAATAAACTATTTGTTCTATGAATGTTGGCTTACGAGGTACTCGGGATATGAGAGATAATTAACAGGTCTGTCAAGGGAAGCACGACGGTTGCTTTAAAAAGAAAACATTAAACCTAGAAAAAAAAAAAATGTTTTTTCTACCCAATTAGGACAGGCATGTTTCAAAAGTAATGCTCGTCGAAAAAAAAATTAGATTTTTTGTCCAATATTTATGTTACAATATGAATTTCTTTATTTGCGAGCAACTAGTCTGTGCTCCAGGTTTGCTGGGCCTCAGTGTTGCTCAGAGCACACACTAGTTGGGTACAAATGCTATCATCCCACAGAAATACAGTTTCAGTTTTGCTCACAAATAAAAAAATCTGTATTGTAACAAATATTGGCCAAAAACATTTTTTTTCTTTTCTACAAACATTTATTTTGATACGTGCCTGTCCTCCCCAGGTAGAAAGAAAATTTTGGTTTTCCTAGGTTCAGTTTTTCTTTAAGTAAAATTTGCCAAAGAAAATTAAGCGGCGCTAGAAAGGTGACTTTCGGCAAGTTTGGTTCAAGTCAAATGCTAGGCTTAACTTCATAAACATGTGTAAAGATCTGTATCCAAAACAGATAAGCATTGTAGATGGTACCACCAGCCACTCAAAGTAAATCGCTATCCGGCATCGAAAGCGCTGCACTCGGACAATTTCCATGCAGATGGCTTCTCTTCAGCATCACATATATATTGCAACACCCTCAAGCTGCCTGCGATAGTTTGTTCCAGCTTAGTTTCGACCGTTGTCTTGAAATAGTTGAAATAATTTAATTGAAGTGCATGTTTTAAGAAATGTTGTTAAAGTGCTTGAATGACTGCAGACATGGGATCGAGCATGTTGTGCAGTTCCCTTTAAATTCATAAATGAATGGATCGAGTGGATGTTTGTAACGTTAAAATCATTTAAGCGTGTAATATATATTGTAATATAGTGAGGAAAAAAATCGACCGATGTTGATGGTGCCATTAATTTTAAGGTCGGATGAAATGCAAGTTAAATGTTCATTACCTATGTGCATGAGTTCCCCCACGTAATCAAAAACATGTTTTTGATTTGTTATGAACTTCTAGTTGTTTCTTTTGCTGCCTGCAGTTTTAGTTGCTTAAAAGACGCAACTACAAGGAAACGTGTAGTTGCGATCATAGATATACAATGCACAATTTATCTCAATTGTTCCATCACTATCGCTGAGCAAAGTTGAGTTGCCGTAATTGTGCCGGGGCTAATGCTGATTCCTGTGCCCCTCCCCTCATGCACATCTGGTACACCGACAATAAAAATGGCCATAACGTCTTAGCAAAATTAACTGCAGAAGTTGTGCACATAATGATGGCATACAATAAGGTAGTAAATACGAGCATAAAACGACACATCACAAAATAGGTGAGAAATGCGACGAAAAACATGTATACAACGCCTTTACCAAGGCGCGGATGGGAGAGTGGAACGACAAGTTGAAGCCATCTTATGGCGGCCGAAGCACGCGATTCCAAGATGGCAGCGCGCGTGTAACGGAGGCTGAAAAGGTCTATAGCCACTGAGCTGCATAGCAGAGCTACTTTAAATGCATTGTGCTCTCAGCAAAACATGCCGCCGAGAGCGGTGCGATGTTGTACCATGTGACCACTCGCCTCATTGACGTCGTGCATTGCGTAAGAGTCGTATAGGGTAGCACCTGTGCTGCACTTGTTCGTATGACCTCTCCCTGGTTAACATCTGAGGTGCACGATGAAAAACCTAGTGCAAACCACATACTGGGAGCGGTGTTTTTGCAGGACACATTCTGTGCTCCGTGGTTTTCATCAGCATGATCAAGCTCTTGTAATGTTTATTTGTTCTAGCTATGTCTACAACATGGAATATGGGCGTGTCACTGAATCCATCATGGCTCACAATGATGCAGGCAAGTCGTCCTCGCATGCCACGTCTGTTGGCCCTTCTTGAAGTCTGCACAATCTCTTCCAGTGTCTCATCTATGTTGGAAGAATGGGGTGCTGGCAACCGCTTCCTGGGACTGTGTTGCGAAGGTACCTCCATCATTGCTTCTCTGCGCCTCTATTTTTACTTCATCGACAGACTAATGCCTCTACCGACATGACAAGCGTACTGCAAGTTATCCGTATTCATATTTATTGATGCAAAGGAGAAGCGAGACATCTCAGTGTGTTTTTAAACAAAGTGTTTTCTATAGCAGTATTTTTGTTGCACAAGTTCCTTGAGGAAATGTACCGGCGTGAAGAACTCGCAAAAACTTTTTTTAGAGTAAAATTGTGTTGACTTTTGAGGTTGTGCAGGACAGGTACACATAGTACCGTATTTAGTCGCATAATGAACACATTTTTTTTTTTTTCACCGAAAAATTGACATATGCGGGGTTAAATTTTTGCATTTACACATTTCGTGCAAATGTCATATTAGGTGCCAAAATTACATGGCAAGCTACTGTGGGCTGTCTCCACTGATAGAGGCACACCCATGGCTGATCGGGGTCACACCACAGTAACCATGATTTATTAATAGACCATTTGCTGTATTCCCAAGCGCCCCGGCCCGCACTCGAGGAATCATGGGAACGGTGTTCCTTCGGCTCTCTAGTGATCACTAATTTTCGATCAACTCCATGGTTACACAGTTTCTGAGCGTAATTCGGAGTTAACCTGAACAAGCGCCTGATATACCCTAAGGACCTGTAAATCACTTTAAAAATTGCTCGTCAATGTCAGCATTTTTGATCCTGCGCATGCGATCCACCTTTCAACCTGGCTGAGCTGCAGAAATCTCTTACAATATTATCATTTTTGTGATCGTTGTTTGAGCACAAATTGCTTAAAAAGCCGATAATTCACAACAACCAAAGCCAAAAATTAGCTCGGAGTCCGCGGGGCTGTTTATAGCACTTTTATTGTTTCTATCTTAATATCAGCATGATAATAATGTAAGAGATTTCTGCAGCCCATCCAGGTTGAAGGGTGGACAGCATGCACAGTATCAAAAACGCTGACATTGAGGAGAAATTTTAAAAGCGATATGACAGGTCATTGGGCATATCAGGCGCTTGTTCAGGTGACTCCGAATTATACTCCAAAGTTGTTTAACCTAGGATAGGCTCAAAATTACCGATCACTAAGGAGCTGAAGGAACACCGTTCCCATGATTTTTTTAGCGCGGGCCGGGGCACTTGGGGGATATAGCAAATGGTCTATTGCAAACCTTTTTAGGGCGTTTCGGCGTGCCGTTTGCCGAAGAAAAAACGCCCTACGAAACTCACTCAGCACAGAGAGCAATGCGACCATTGTTAGGCCTAACCACTTTCACGATTTCACTGTCTGAAAGTGGACAACAAACGACGGCGTGTTTGTTGACATGAGTGCATCTGATAGGCTTGTTGACATCAGTGCATCCAGAGCTGGGCGATTCCTCGACCCAAGCTTCGTCAAGTTTGCGCGCCGCTCAGTTTCACAATTGATCACTTCCGCAACTATGCACTTGCAGCCATTACGGAGCGGCTTGGCTTGGCTTGAGTTGGCCTGACCTCTTGGTGGCGAAAGAAAATTGGCTTGGTGGCTAGCTAAGTTAGACGCAATTCAAGACTCGTAGAGCCAAAAATTGGAAGTGCATTCATTTCGTGAGGGAAAATAAAAAGTCAAAATATTGGTACCCGTTGGGGGTGCGTTCATTATGCGAGTGCATTTATGATGTGTGTAAATACGGTAGTATATCTCTCAACATGGCTCTTCTCTCTTGCCATGTTTCGTGTGCCGTGTTTCTAATGCTCATAAACAAGAAAGCATACATGCACATGTGACGGCACAAACAGTGAAAGGACTTCTGGAGTATGTACCACGTGCCAGCAAGCATAATCCCACATTACATGCAACAGTGTGTGCCTTTTGAACACCTGATTGGATACATTCTATTTTGGTGCATTCATACGACAGATAGGATACACTGAAAGACAAAGAGATGGGCTTCAGTGGTTTGCATACCTGACCGGTGGCTAGGAAACTCGGAGCTGTAATCCAGGTGCCTCCCAAAGTTTTGTCTTTTGGCATCTTCGTAACATTTATTCCATTCAGTCAGTATGGTTCATTCATCTGCATATTTTCTGTTATGTCCTGCAGATATATACATATGTATCTGCAGGATGTGAAGTTCTAATAAAGTTGTTATAACAAAGTTTTGTAGTATTTCAAGTTTTGTGCAGTCCCAGCTGAGGTCCAAGTTTTTACCTGGATCAGGTATTCTTAGCAACTTTGTCGTCCCCTCTTTGATGAAACAAGAATCCTGGGGGGGGCATAACAGCAGATTGGGCAGGGAGATCATAGAGTCATTTGCCATGACCACAGCGAATAATGTGTCAAACCCTTCCCTCCTGCTGACGAAAACTGAGGTTGAATTTCTAAAATCCGAGATAAATCCACCTCTCTGACTTGCTCTTCGCGTTTTTTATCTTTTCTTCTCTCCCCTTCTCCCCCTTTTCCCTCCTAGGTTTAGTCGGCTGCTCGCTGTGGGAATTTTTAATCGTCTGTTGCTAGTTAAAAGATGTGGTTGTGTTGTCCCAGTGTTAAATGTTTATTCTTTCTTCATCCATCAAGCAATCTTGCAATCGTCATTGTGGGCAGGGCTTGCAACACTCTTTTGAAGCACAATTTTAAAATCGGCGAAGACTCGAAAATTGATAATTATATCTAAAATATCATGACATTTCCGTTATTAGCATTACCTTGCACTCAAATTCGCGTTTCATTGGTATAGAGAGCCTAGATTTAAGAGAGGAGGCAACTGCTCGATCGGGGTCACATGGTTTGTTAATTACGTGATCCCGATCACGAGTACCAGTGTTGCGGAGTTGCCACTCCGGAGTTGGAATGATTCCGCAATCATTCCGTATTTTCGCGACCCCGGAATGGAATGGGGAATGGAATGGCGGCAACGTTGAGGGGAATGGAATGGGAATGGAATTAGTTGCCTTTTGCCCGGAATGAAATGGAAATGGAATGAACCGGTTCTTCTTTTTTTTTTCTTTATTTTTCAGTGTTTACGGTCAGCTAAACCAAGCCAGTCAGCGAGTCTGTTGCTCAGAAATAAAATGAGCGGGAAACTGCTAGTGCGCGTGGAGCCCTAACAAACTTATACGCAAAAAAAAAAAAAAAAAAAAAAAAAAGCAATAAAAACAGCAAGCGTCAAAGCAAAGGATGTAAGGTGGGTAACGTGGCGCCTTTCACGGACGCGCAGGCGTCGGGCTCCGATGGCATTACACGAGAGCAAAACAAGAAACCAAGCACCAAGCAAAAGAAAAGGGAGCGGCAAAGAAAAAAATCGCCATGCACAAGTCCTCATCGTCCTTCTTGTCATGCTTTTTTGTTGTATTTGCGGCGGTTAGTAGAATGCGTGCATGCGCACAGACTGAGATCTGGGAGCGGAAGAGACTCATAACTCGCAGAGCTCTGAAAGTTGAAAGTTGTGCAACGAAGCTAAACACGGTGCAGTCGGCGTATATCATTGAACTTTATTAGCCATCTGAAGAGGAAACACGAGAATGAGTATGCGAAGGGTGGAAAAGGGCAGGCAAACCAGCCAAAAATTGAATTGAATATGATAAGAAATATCGAGATTCGTAAAGCAAGCGTGAACTTGTGCGTTTTAAAACAGGTTTCGTGACATCGATACGGTTCCTCGTGCTGCGCCGCAGAGGTTGCATTTTGTCAGAGGATGTGCTCTTGCCGCTGTGCATGGAGTCTCTTCCAGCAGTGTACTAGCAGTGTTGCTGTATTTGAAGAATACAGTAATATAGCTTATTCCTGCGCCACGCACGAACTGGTTATTTTAGAGCGCAGCTCTTAGGGGCCCGTTCCCGGCTTGAGCGGCGTCGGCGTAACCAAGGTCACGCGACCCCCAAGGTCATTTCAAGGTCACATGACACCCAAGGTCACCCCGAGGTCACGTGACCCCCCCCCCCCCCCCCCCCCCCGAGGTCACGTGACCACCCCCCCCGGGTCACGTGACCCCCCGCCGAGGTCACGTGACCTCTCCTATGACGTCATCGTCACTGATGACGTCACCGGCATCCGCATCGTCATCGTCATCATCACTGATGACCTCACCGGCATCCGCATTGTCATCATCACTGATGACGTCATCAGTGACGTCACCGGCATCCGCATCATCATCGTCATCATCACGGATGACTTCATCAGTGACGTCACTGACATCCGCATCGTCATCGTCATCATCGCTGATGACGTCATCGGAGTCCGCATCGTCGTCACTAATGATGTCATCAGTGACGTCACTGATGACATCATCGGCATCGTCACATGACCCCCAAGATCACGTGACCCCCAAGATCACGTGACCCCAACGTCACCCCAAGGTCACGTGAGCCCTCCCCCAGGTCACTTCACCCCCCCCCCCTCCAGTAGCCTTCCCTCCTCCTCCTCAAGAGCTGCGCTCTAATTCGGTGTTACAGGGAGTTGTAAACGGCTTTCACTTTTTATGGTATTATCAAACAAACACGCTGGCCGCGTATGTCCTAAAAGTAAAATGCAAAAAAAAAAGTTAAAAAAAGAAAAGAAAATGAGTGGATTTAAGTTTTGCTGTTTGTTGCGAGCCACGTGGTCGCGAGACCAATGTCTTAAACAAGCATCGACATATCAAGGCGCTTTCTCGATGTTTGCAGTACATTGTAAATAAACACTTTGTGCCACCAGTGGTCCGCTTAGTAAAAGCAGTGGTTTTTTGGGGAATTTAGCTTTTTTTTTTTGCAATTGTCTCTACATTTGCTAATGTCAGCTTTATGCTGCTTATGCCGGCAACACAATCTAGCTGTCAAGTGCCAATTTTTACATTTAGGAATTAAAGGAATGGAATGGAACGATCCAGCCATTCCAGGAGTGGGAATGGGCCCGGTGTCTCCATTCCTAGGAGTTGAAAGGAATTGAATTATCGAAAACTCCAATTCCCCGGAATGAAATTAGAATGGAATGGGGGTGCCCATTCCGCAACACTGACGAGTACAGGCCGCATTTGCAAAACGAGCTGTATCCTACAAAGAGTCAAAACTCAAACGCGTTCACCTTCTGCAAACATGTCCGCCTCTCCGCACAGTTTGCTCGCCAGGCTGGCCACACAACAGCCAAAAGCAGGAGCACTTGCGCGAATCTTTCCAGGAGGCATCTGCCGCTAAATTGGAAATACATAGTCTCAATGGTTGGAATTTCTCCCCTTCTTTAATCTAAGCTCTCTCTGTTGTCTCCGTTAGTATGTTGGCACTATGTCGCTAGCGCTTTGAATGCCCCTATTGGCATGCCACGACGGCTTCCCTGCAAGCGATGCGGAGAAGCCACTTCCCAGATAAGGAGCAGGGAGCAGACGATGTTGCAGAGGCTGCTTGGTTTGCAGCATCTTCTGCGGCCTGTTCTGGGTTGCTGCTCAGCCGCGGCAGCAAAGTGCGGCGGTCTGAGACTTAATAAACTTTCTGAATTTTATTATTTTTTTTAAATTATCGCAAGATTTCTTTTTATTATATCCACGGGAGCCACTCAATTTCCTTCCCTAAAAACCGACATAAATGCATAGAAAAAGTCCAAACGGGAATGGGAAATCGTGATCGCTTTGCTGTAGCTGCTATTTCGTTAATTCGACTTCGTTATAACCAGTTTCGACAGTACGTATTAAGTAAAAGTCGGCTGACGTGGGGTCACGTGACGTCAATTTTTTAGCGGAGAATCTACACGGGTATATAGTGCACGTGACGTCAGGTCATGTGACATCGAATTTCCAGTTAAATTTAGTGGGGAAATTGAATTCATGTATAGGTTATGACATTAATTTCCCCGCTAAATTTAGTGGGAAATGCACAGACGGGCAGACGAAATTTGGGGATTGGGGGCTAGTGTTAGAAAGCATTTCATGCTTTAACAAAGATTATACATGGTTACTACCTATATTAATGCGGGAAAGCACTCTGGTAACAAAAAAATATACTCAGGAATTTTTTGCTACTTTGAAGTGAAGGCGGTCCCAGCTGAATGCCGCATTGTCCCCGTGCTGTCCCAGGTGTGGGGCATGGGCAACGGTCGAGGCCACTCTCAGCTGCTGGCGGAGCTGGAGCACGAGGCGGGCGTGATGTGCGTGTCCCTGGACGAGGAGGCCAGCCGCCTGGCGTCGGGCACCGTCGAGGGCTGCGTCAGCGTCTGGCACCTGGGCGACCTGCCCGTCTGCCTGGGACAGTTCCAGGGTATGGGCACACACTTGGCCTCAGGAAAGCTACACTAACTAACCTAAGCCTTAAAGGGATGCTGAACCGAAATCTGGATTCTACAAAACACGGCGGCAGAAGCGTGCAATGGAATGCTACGAACCCCAAAACAACACTCATACAGCCATATCTCGAACGGATGGTCGTGTTTTTTAAAAATAAGGGGCATTTGACAGGTATGTTGACCTCTTGTTTAGTCGAGAAGGAGAGGGAACAGCTTCGCGTCTTCTTCGCCTCGCCGCCTTGAGGAGGCAAAGCGAAGAGAGGAGGAAACAAAATATGTTGACTTCACGCGCCTCGTCGGCCTTGTTCATTCTCGATCTCTTTTACCAAAAATATGGCCGTCCATTCGAGATATCGCCTTACGAGTAGTGTTGTAGGGATTGTAGCGTCCTGCCTACCGCTCCTGCAGTGCTTTCTGAAATCCAAATTTCAGTTCACCATCCTTTTAAGGGGGCAGTGAAATGATTTTATTGTTTAAAGGGACAATGAAGGCAATTTCGCACATCTTTTTGGCGATTGAACTGGGTTCCGGGCACGTCTCATGTCACGCTGCCCAAATTTCAGCCGAAACCGGCGCTTCTATGCCGCGCAAATCAATTAAAAAGTCGCGGTAATAATCGTACCGGGATCGACTGGGGCGACGCCCCGAGAGTTGCGGGAGAAGCCAAGAGAAGCGGAGCTCACATGACCATTGCGGGGCCAAGAAGCGCGACGTCACAAGAGACGCGTCAGCGATTGGTCGAAACGAAAAACGTGCCCTCGGTCACGTTTTGGTTCGCGATTTTTTAGGAATACTGTTCTAATTTCCGCTTGAATAACCATGAAAAGTATAAATCGGACCGAAAATGATTACTAAACCCTACCTCGTTGACTAAACCGTAAATAAAGCAGCATAATTGTTTTTTGCTTTGCTACGCTGGACGCGAAGCGGGCAACGAACAACTATGGGCAAACAAAATAAAATAAAAAAGAACACGGTACTGGAAGTATCCTGCAAGATGGTAGCTGTAGATGGCTATTCCAACGATGAACTGAAGACCAGTATTCGTTCGGGCGACGCTAGTTTTGTGTTCTTTGACGACGAAAAGAGGACGTCCGCGGAGAAACCGGATCCCGGAACGGCCGGATCGCTGCCGCTTTCCCCTCCGCATCTCCCCCGCGTCCGTCCTTCGGCATGCGGGCCGCTCGTTGCCGGCTGGGCGGTCTCCGTCGTGTGATGGCAGAGGCCGCCACGCACGTACTCCCGTTTTGTTGGTGTTCGGTCACTGAACGGAAGCTCGAACTCGCTCGCGAAAGCGGCATTGCCGTCGATGTTGACAGAGTCGGCAAAACGACCGCCCCACCGCGCTGCTATAACCCACCGCGGTAACCAGAGTCTCGATCTCCTAAATGCTACCGATACCGACTATTCACACTTGACGTCACTCCTTACGTCACCTCCGTTTTCGGAGGCCCAGAAACGAGAACGGAGATTGCTCAGTTTCGGTTTCTTTAGTTCTTTCGTAGGCACAAAAATATGCGTCACAAATGTCTACAAAAAATTGGGCAGCATGCTATGTTCCCAAGAAGCATAAAAACACCATTTAAAAAAATTAAATAAAATTGTCTTCATTGTCTCTTTAAAGGATTTGCAACTTATACTTTTTATGTAGTCCGTCTTGGCACAAGTGATAGATAACACACCATCTTTTCTCGGAATGCTGCGATTCCGCCTTGTAATCGGAAAGGAAAAAACATGTTTGTTTTTTTCGAAGACACACATACCTTACTCTGGTATGTGTGTCTTCTCTTCTGCTATATTCGAGAGAGTGAGACAAGGTAGTCGATCATTGGCACAGACGAAGGTAATTAATCGAACCGACTCGCGGTAATGTAGCCCTAAACGTCGTCTACATTGCCGCGGAGATGTGGGGACCGCGCTACTAGGTTTGACGTCTCCTTTGAGATCGCCGCCGCTGTTGAGATAACACTTTAGTTATACTATCGGTACCTCTGTTGGTAGCAAATCCCCACATAAAATGGCGCCCAGCGTGGGGCCACGGCTCGTTGGGTTCGTTTCCCAGCTGAGCGCCTTCCTGTCACCGTTGACAAACTGGCCACCTTTTTTTTGTGGTTTTTGTTTGTCGTTTGCTCCTGCCCGTTTCTGCCACCTTTGCGGCCCCGGGCAAGCGAGCGTCGGTTGCGCGTGCCCCCACGTTTGGAGGCTGCGGCACCCTTTCTTCCCTTTAGGGAGGTTTGTGGGCAGCTCTGGGCGTTTCGCATTATGACTTTGCAGGTCTACGATGTCGCACTTACGTTGTGCCGTTGGCACCACAATCCTGGCAGCGGCGGTGATGGCTTTGCGTTTGTCAATGAGGCTTTATGAACTTTTGCCGTCACGTCCCCAAAGATCACGCACCTTGTATTTTTTGCCGTTCATCTCGTCATTTTGGGCGGGCGTTCTTGCAAGACTCTGCCGTACGTTTCCATTTTTCGCATTAAAGTTTAGCCGTTATCGAAAGCATGCGACGAGATGGTGGCGCCACAGTGCGGCGCCCGGTTGGAGCATTTAGCCTCAACGTCATGCATGGTGGCCAACCTTGGTTTCTAATTGGTGTTGGCTTAGCCAAGCACGGTGCCATGCAAAATGTTTGGAGTGACGATCAGAGCTGACTTTTTTTTTAACGCGAGACCGAAAAATTCAGAATGCACGTTCCTCTCCATGTCTTGGTGAAAACAGCTCGGATCACATCGATCCCAGTGCCTCTCTCAATCTGCCGGTGAGCAGCTGATAAGAGGAGCGAAAAATATGTTTCACATGGGTTTTATCAATTACCGGTGAGCATCGTTCGATAGTGATTTCCAGAGCATCGAACACGTGAGTGCATTGTAGAAACATATTCCGGTGCAGAGGAACGAAAAACGTGGCGGCATTTTGCCATCGTTACTTATCACTGCGGGAGACTATTTAACCCGAGCTCCAGACAACTCCTGCGAATCTAATGATGTGAGAACGCGTACGGATCTGTGCCAGACATAAATATGTTTTCGAATGTCAAGGTGTTAAACCTTTACTCTGGAGTGAGATTGAGAAACGCGGCTGCGGGAAGGTGCAGAAGCAGCCAAGACGCTCTGGGCGCGTCAGAAGGAGCCGGAGCGGCCCCACTTTGGTGCAAGACATAACACGGACGCTGTCGTCGGTGGCGCTGCCGACCGGCTGCCAAGACGGAGTGGCACACCCCACAAGGCGTCTCATGCTCCCATAGTCACCGACGAGGTTAGGGCGGCGGGGCGCCTCCGTGGGACGCCCGGCCTCCCGCACGCGCCTGTTGCCTTTCGCCGTGCCCTTGCTGCATGTGCACTCTTGAGGCTCGCGAGACACATTATCAAAGATGGAAAGCTCACACAAGAGGTGGGACAACCGAAATTACTCCGTGCCATTCTCGATCTGTCGGGGACCGTCGCCGGCTCCTGCAACATCGTTCATTACCACATCGGAACCACTTTCGATGCGGGGCCGTATAGGACGCCGGCGCATCGCCATGAAATGAAGTTCAGCAGCGTGAACTTGGCGGTATGAAAAGCAAGATGTAAATTTTTCCTCAAGACTGCATACGGCTCGTATTAAACTTAACCGAAGCACTGGGCGGGAAAAATGTTACTTGATGAGTTCCCCACGTGTTTACTGTACGCTCAATCTTCTAAGAGTGTGAGAATAGCATCCGACTCAACTTGATTTGTAGCCAGCGCCGATGACGTTCTTGACGTGAAAGTTTTGTGTTGGCAAGTGTGACTAAAGGTTGAACTTGGGGCATCTTCGGGCGTTTCGGTTGCAAGAATTGCGTCTTCTCAAAATTAATGAACAAACTGACTTTTCACTGGCGTATGTTTCCTTTCCATCGGTAGAGAAACAGTAGGAAAATGAATGTAGCGTTTCTCGTCTTACGGTGCCGGAACTCTTCGCATTGTCTGAAGATGGAGATGTCGCATAGGTGCAATTTTAAGCTTGTCACAGGTAGCGAGGCGTTAAGAGTTTGAGGCGCAGAACACTACGATAAAAATGAATGACGTAATGGGTACCAACATGAAAAGAAAATGTGTGCTAATCATTGTGGGAGACGCCTGTGTTCTTTACATTGAATCTCTTAACCCAGTGGTTCTCAAATGGGGTTCCGCGTAACCTTTGGGGTCCGCGAGGGCATTCTAGGGGTCCGTGAAGCACAGCCTCATCAGTTAAGCCCGGCAATAAAAGTTCTGTTTTGCTCAGATTGAGAAGAAACGTCCCCATATTTGGATGAGTTTTCTCATGTATGTGTGAATAAGAGAAGTATATTTCACACTAACCCTTAGTTACATTCATTTATTAAATCTTTATCATTGTTAACCTATACATTTCCCTTCACCTCACCACAAACAGGGTCCTCCGTCATCTCCGCCGATCAACAAGGGGTCCGCGAAACAACAGCGGTTGAGAACCACTGCCTTAACCGACTGAAGACAGTTTTTTTATTGTTTGTATTAAACACACTACGAAATTTTATTTGAGATTGGCAATTTGTGCGATAATTATACAAAACAAATTTGGCCTCCAGGTGCTGTCTGTTGCACACTATTAATCTCTGGCTATCTAATGTGTTCATTCAGGCAGGAGCTCTTCACTGCTCGAATGGTAACGGGGGGCACGAGTGATACTCGTGATTAGTTGCCAAGGGGTTACAACGTTGAGAGCACCATATGATAAGGCCTAGCATTGTGGCCCAGTGTGACGGCACCATTCGTACCCGAGTGCATTTATTGGCGTTTCCAGGCAGCCTGTTTAGTTGGTCAGCCACAGGAAGCGCACCACCTTTATATTTCTTGGTGCAACTTGGTGCGTACAAGTAAATTGTCGCTTCGGATACAACTGGTGCACCAAACCATTCGGGTTGGTGTCACTGGTAGCACTTTGTGCGAGACTAATTGGCGACCTTATACTTTCAGTTCATGACGGCTCTGTGTCTGGAGTGTCCTTCAGTCCCGGTGAGCACCGCTTTTTACTTTCCTCCTTTGGCAGAGAAACAAAATGATGCTTGGAGTAATGGAACAAAGGCATTCCATAGCTGGCATGTTTCGGTGTTGCTTACTCCAGTAACATCGAGGCGCCGTGGCTATCGGCCAAAGCTGCCGGACTGCCTGCTTCTTGGATGCAGTTTCTGAAGGCCCTAGAGACAGCTGCAGCGAAGAAAAACTCTGTCGAAATGACGTAGTTACCTATTCATGAAAAGCACTTCGCCAAAGATCTCGACTCAATTTTCTACAAAAAAAAAGCATATTTTATGTTGGGCCGGCGAGCGAATATTGCCTCTGTTAGGCGCGACGACGGGGTTTCTTCCGTTTCGTTCGACTCGTGGCGACGAAACAAGAAACGTCCGCTCTGGGGTAAGCGCCCAACATGAAACTTGAGAATGTTGACGTCGACGACGGAAAAGGAAGCAGAGAAGGAGTGACAATTGGATGGAGCGTCTGCTACTCCCGGGTGTAGGTGACATGTGGTTGTCAAACAGAGGGATATGGGCAGCCTCGCACGCTGTACTCCTTTTCACTTTACAAGCGAGCGAAGCTGAAGCTAGGGGAGCATGTCGCTCCTAACGATGCTTGCGCTGCATGAGTGTGCATGCTTGGCAAGGATGCTAAAAGCTTAGAGCTTGCTCTTGTGGCCTCTGGTGCCAATACCACTTAAAAGACGAGGCCTTTCCCCCTCATACGTCGTCACTGTGAGTCCACGCGGTGCCGCCTGGTTAGCGCCAGCATCTCCGCGTGCACATCTCGCGGCAATTGCGACGCCGACACCCGGCGATGCCAAGACAGACGCACCTGCCGGTATGCGACGTCCCTTGTTGAGCTTCGTTGTCTTTGCCACCTGGGGTGGGTTGGAATCCACTGACGACGACGTCATGTTCAGGATAGGTGGCTTCTGGGCGGTAGTGTTGGTACGTTCGCGCTTGACGTGAAGCAGAGCATAGTCGGGAAAACACCAACTGTAAATATTTACCTTGTCTCCTTTTGCGGAGGCCTAAGTGAGTATAATTGTTTTTTAGGGGCGAAGCTCCTTAGGGTCTCGCCTTGTCCGGCGTCCGTGCTCACATCGATCTTGCTGGTACTCGTGCTCGTGAGCTCATGTGCTCACGTGCTCGTGTAGAACAAAAAAATTAAAAATGATGAAAAAAAAAAAATGTTTGGACAGTAGACAGGATTCGAACCTGTGCGCTGAGACCCCAATAGATTTCCAGTCCATCGCCTTAACCACTAGGCCATGACCGCAGGACGAGTAGGGGGCTCTGAGATGTGGTAGCGTAGTAACTCGAGCTGGGGATGTCGGGGATGAAACGTTTCATCTAGCCGCTCAACATCTATACAGGAGAGGGCGCTGCGGTCAAATGCGTATATAATCGCGTTAAACTTTGCATGCATTGGCTCAATGTTTATAGACGAGAGGGCGCTGCGGTCACATGCTCAAATGCGTATATAACCACGTTCCATACCACACATTCTCTTTCTGACATGGATGAAAACGAACGAAAGGCTCTGGATGCTGGGGCTCAGTGTCTACGCAGACAAGCACCACCAGAGCTTCGCGTCAATCAACATCATTCACCACATAAAGATGCAATCATTTTTTTTCTTTTTTCTTTTTTTAATTTCAAAACAGATATATGTACGGCGATCAAGTTAGTCCGCCGATCGTGTAGAGGGTTACAGTGACATCGTAGCACTGAGCACCAACTGGAGAACCGCTCCGGGCGCCTGCTGCAGCGGCACCGTGTGCTAATCGTGCCAATGGTTGCCTTGCCTTTTTTGTGTTTTTCCATTTTTTACAGTTGTTTACAAACCAGGACTCTGTATTTGAGAGAAAAAAGGAAACACCCAAAATAATACTTTTTTTTTTTTACTAGTAATTATAGCAGGGGCGCCCCAGTAAACAAAGAACTTGCGTCGAGAACCCAGTAAAGAAAGTGCCGTCTGCCGAGGTGGAGCTTGGTCATGCACATGATCAATCTCTTTCACTTTCATATACGGAGAGACGCGTTTTGGTTGATTCGCTTGGCGTACAGGTCTAATGCTGCGGCAAGTTTTCTGGTTCCTGTCACGCCCAGGATTGTAGCGGGTCCCTCTTTGACAACACGCACATGGCTAAGAGAGTGTCGACGGTCGGTGCAGATGGCAACAGGGTGGCGTCGTGCAGCGAGGACGAGACGCTCAAGGTGGTGGACGTCCGCACGGGGACGGTACTCTTCAGCAAGGGCGCCGGCGAGCCTCTCCGGTAAGGCCGGCGGCTGCCACCGCGGTTCCTCGACCGTATGTGCCGGCTTTCTTAATAGGCCATCCGGAACTCGGAGCGTGTCTCCGATCGGTGCGCTTATTGCATCCAAGTTTGTGGTCCCTCGATTTTTGGTTTCCACCCTACGACGTTACACTCGCGTCACGCCGTTGCTCGCTGCGACGCTGGCTGTGACACAGCGACGGAGGCGAAAATGCGGCACACGTCCGCTCCGCCGTAGGTAGCTACGATTCTGGATGTCGCAACAGCAGCGACACTTGCGTTTCCTTGTTTTTTTCGCTGGAATTTCTACAAACGGCTGCCGGGATTGCGACATCCGGCAGCTTGACACGCTGGCTCCTGTGGCGTGGTTTGCTACTGCTTCGGGACCACTTTTTCCGCACGGACAACACAGGACGTTAAACATGCCGATCATTAGATGCGTTCTGGGCATCGTAGTGGGCAGAGTCCACACTCGCGCTTCATTGCGGACGATGTCTGATCCCATCATTTGTTTACAATATACTGCAGCGGCCCATTGCAGGTCCAAGCAGGGTGGATCGGCACGTTCGTGAAATACTAGAAAAAACAAAAAACCGGGTCCACAGTGTGCCACATACGATGAGCATAGACAGATCTTTGTAATTGTTACGTCTAGATGGACAATATGCAAACGCACTACACAAACATCAGTTTGTGTAAAGTGTTTCAGATCACAATTGGTGCCCTGAAACACTTTACTTCAAATAATAGCCAATGACAGGGTTTCGTTTCTTCTTAAATAAATTCTTTATATGGCTGGCCCCTAGAAGTTTCCAGCGAAGGAGTCCCGTAATGAAACGGCATCGCACGAGCGCTGCATCGGCATCTTGCTGGAACTCACGTTCGCATTGACCGAACACGAATGCTACCAAAATTCTGACGCATCGTTCGTGCCGTCTGCTCTCTAAGTTGGCCTCTTGTGGGCGACGAAGAAAATCCGGCACTACGACATTTTTAAGGCCCATTTTTCACAGCAAGCAATGTTTGACTACGGGACATTCGTTGTAATACGACCTTGAGTCACGAGTGCGCCCATTCTTCGTACTCCGCATGCCGAATTATTTCTGTATTGGTTGCCTAGCTTTGTGCGGAGCACCGCGACGTCCCAGCGACTCGCGGTCGCAGCTTCGCACAAGTCCTTGAGAGAAAGTCAACTGTAGCAAGATGGTGGCGTGCAAGTGGGTTTTTGTCTAGGAAGTGTCGAGCCAGCACGCTCGTGCATTTGATGGGACAGTGCATGATGTGAGCTGGAGGGGGACACATGCTTCGGAGAAAATGGGGAGCCACCAAATAAGATGTTTCAAGCTAGGGTAGCAAAGACTGAAAAAGACATGAACTTCACATTTTACTCATACTGGAACGCTAGTTTCGGCAGGGCTTTTCTTCGGAGACGCCACACGCGACAATACTCTCATCGCCGCAATACGAAATGCACCCAAGTTCCTTGGTGCAATGCATTGTGAGGCAACACACAGTACATTCTGTGCTACCACTGCCTTTGCCGCAATGGTGTGGGAAAGGGGGCAAATTGTTTTCTGAACTTTCGTAAGCAAAATATATTTTGTAGCGTGAGCTACACTGGCCGAGGTTGAGCAGTTTCGCGTGGCTCGCATACTGAGCCGTGCTCCGTGCTGCGCAAGCGTGAGAAGCAGTGACATCGCATGGCGCACATCTGGTGCGCCTGAGACGCCGCCGCCGCGCGCGCCTCGCCGGTCTGCGCATGCGCGAGGAGCAGTGACTTCACACGGTGCACAGGTGGTGCACCGAAGCCGCCGCCGCCACGCGCTCCGCCGCTACGCGTTCCGCCACCACCGCGCGTGCCTTGCCGGTCTGCACATTCCGCGTGCCCAGCTGTGCGCCTCCGTTGCGCAGTAGCCAAGTTTGACGCTGCACCGGAGCCGCTTGATGGCGCCTCTCATTTTGTGCGCATAAGCTTACGCTACGTATATCCTGGCATAGCCGAACTAAGCCACCGCAATTTTTTTTTGCGGTTTGTTTGAATTTTTATGCGTGGTTTCGGGCAAAGCATGACACAGCGCAAACAAACGGTAGTTGGTTTTCGCCTTTCCAACTTATAATCGAAATGCTGTCGTCGAGATTTTAAAACGTGCATTTGGAGCACCAACCTAAGTTGTAAAATTAATTGGTCATGAATACTCGGCGGAAAAGTGATGTTGTTGCATTTGTGATAACTTTGTCACACAATGTACAGGGCCTTCTCCTGTCGCATCGAGAAGTAGTGGATACGTATTTTGCTACCGCATTGTTTCTAGCATGATGCTTCTGGCATTTTCAAGTTTGGGACTCTTCGTTTACTGCAGAATGTAGGTATAATGTTTGCTTTTGACCGAAATGCCACCACAATCGTTTTGGCCAATTAATTCCGTACGCACATCTTGAAGATTTATTTCCACTCTCATCCCGGCGTCAGCTGTCCGTGGGGCAAGCACAACAAGCGAACAGATCAGACGCCGCGCGAATTCAGATTCAGTTCTCACGGAAGGGTGGCCCCGTGTGTGTGCCATTACGTGGGGTCCCCGCCTGGTGCGTTTAAAAAACACTAAGGTTTATTGCGGAGAAAGTACCGCGTAACCGAGATTTCGGTTGCATGTCGAAGGATCCCCCAGTGGTTGAGATTAATCCTCGGTCCTTCATTCGGGCGTGTCCGACGTCTTTCGTTAATTTGGCGCAAAAAGAATTTTAAAATTTTATTTTATTTCATTTGTCGTTATGTCGTCTAATCGGAAGTTCGTCATCACACTGGGGCCGCTCTCTCCCCAGCTCCCTGTGCTGGGACGGTGCCACGGTGCTGACCGGGTGCAGGTCGGGTTGCCTGCTCGTCTGGGACCTGCTTGGAGGACACGCCCCCCGCAGGCACACCGCACACTCCGGTGGGTCCGCCGTCTCCCCCTCTCGTGGAGGGCCCCTCCGAAGTCACGACCCTATTCGTCACAGTCCTAAGAATTAGGGACACAATGACCAAGAGCATTGCTGACTCTCGTTCGGCCGTAGCCTGTTCTTGTGGCTGGCTACGGCCAAACGAGCACCGAGCACAACAATTCCTAAAACCGTCGGTTCAAGATGGTGCGCAATTTCAACGTCGCCAGGCGGAAATCGAGACACTTGCACGTTCTGACAACCGTGCCGACGCTTGCAATAGCCCTCAAACGTGATCAATAACGAGGCATCAGTCCTTGCCACAGGTTTTCTGGGCTTCCTCGTAAACTGACTGTTGTAGCTTCTTTTCTTTGTTTGTCTCGTGTTGGAGGTTTTCTCAACAAATGCCTTTCACACAATTGTAATTCTTATGCAGCCACAAAAACATGGTTATGCCTTTGTAGATTCACACGCACTAGCTTTTGTAACAAAAAAAGCGTTCATGGGGATGAAATTGCTCCTTCCTTCTTGACAACTTTACACTTCTCCTTAAACGGACTTATGTGTGTAGCAGTTCTGGTTCCGTTGAGGTAGTTGGCAAGAAAGGGAGGATTATCTTGGCAATGAATGGGGCGATTTGTCCAGTCGGGCTCGTTAGAGCCAGGGAAAGAAGACGTGCTCCTATGGGGTCACAGAGATTTCCAGCGGCAAAATAAAAGAGTCAGTTGGGCCCGAAAGTTGCAGTCACGTCATAAGGATGTAATCTCACGACGGAGACAACCACCACCAACCTGAGTTTTCTCCTCTCTACAGAGCAAGGGCTCAAACCAAGAAGGTTTAGATAACTGGACCAATTTTTATGTCAAGGTTAACCATGTCCTGTCGGCATAAATAGAGCAGTATTTATACTGTTATGGCATTTTTTTATAGCACTGATGCTAAAATTATAAGCATGGTTTTGTTGCACTGTTTTAAGAACACGCCGACATACTTTGTGCCATATTGTTTCATGGGGGTATTGTAAAAAAGGTAAGCGAAAACATTTTTTATATTTTATTTTTTTAAACTATAACAGATATACTTTTTCACTTTACATCCGAACGCAGTGGCCACTACGAGCTATCCTAGCCGATCCCGCTCTGTGAACGTAGTCCGTGATACTTTCCACGCGTCGCTGTGCCCCCTCGCTGTGCCCCCTCTCCAACGTCACGTGACGCTCGCACAGCCTTGGATTTGCTCCGACGGCTAGTAGCATCCGCTGCGCGTGGGCATAAAGGCCCGTTCACACTCTTGCAACCTCTTAAAACTGGGTTCCTTGAAACCTCTTACGAGAGGACACAGTGGCGCCATCTATTGGGTAGCAGTGTGAACTTGGCGGTCCGGCATATTTTCTATTTCTCTCCCGCATTATCCTTTCTTTCTTGGCTCGAAAAACTTTTGTCGACGTTATAAATGAGTCTTTCTTATAGGTATTACGCATATTTGACCTCGGAAATACCGCGAAACCTTCACTCTTGTGAAATGCAGTTCCAGAGTCAATGCATAGATTGTGCCAGCATGCCAGTGTGTTCTCGTCCTTAGAAATTTTAAGAAGTTTTAACAAGTCCCGTCTCTCGGTCGTACTCGGTTGCAAGAGTGTGAACGGAGTTTAGGAAAACAAAGAGCTTATGTTATGCTTAACACGCTTATAGTAGATGGGAAAATTTAATGTATATTAGATTAGAACTAACAGAAACATGTTCAAGACCAGGGTCTCTCTTTAAAGGGGCACTAAACCACTTTCTGAGATAGTCTGTTTATGGTCATACCTCAATCTATGCTCTAAGCATCCTAAACTAACAAACGTTCAGTTCACGTGTGGCCGATTTCTCTATTAAGATCAGTGTCAAAGATTGATTACTTTGGAACTATTGCCGACACCAGAGCGTGCCGCTTGACGAGGAGAAGTGGAGAAGCCCTTCTTTAGGCCCGCTTCGGACGGGGCAACTTTTCCAGCAATTTTGAGGTTGCCGGCGGGTTGTTCCCTAGCTTTCCCTAGATCGACGCGAATTGCTGAGATCGGGTCCGGCTCGAACAAGCGAGCAACTCGGAGCAATTCGAAGACGGTTGAAGCGGCCGCAGCCAATCAGAGACGCAATATTTTCACGTGACACCCCTGTGGTGGTGATGATGACAGCTAAAGACTTAGTTCTAGTTTGAAATGGAGTGTTTTTAGAAATGAACAGTTTCAGAAAAATGAATTAGTATTCTCAACGCCGTTTAAAGATGTAAGAACGCATTTTTAGCGCGTAGCTGGGCGTCTAAATAGTGAAAGAAAAATCAAATTTCATGATGATGATGGCAAGTCGGAGCAATTCGGTTGCTGCGTGTGAACGCGGGCGGCCCGTGTTGCTGGTGTTGCGACGTCAAGTTGCTGGGCGAAAGTGCTCTGTCTGAAGCGGGCCTTAGGGAGCCTAGATTGCAGGGGGGTCCATCTCGAACCATGGGGAATGTTTGCAATTTAGTGGCAGACGCCTCCTGCACCGATCGGTTGCAAGTGCGCAGTCGTCGCGTGGCGTGGAGGAAAACGTGCAGAAAGGCAGATGCGCTCACGGACGATCGGTACATTAGTCACCTTGCAGCTTGCGTTGCAAACGCAGGGCCCATAAACCACACGATCCCGATCGAGCGGTTGGGCACTCTCCGTAATGCAGGCTCTACCCTCCTCCTTGTCCGGCGGCGCCCTCCGGTGTCGGTGATAGTTCCGAGGTAATCAATCTTGGGTACCGATTTTAATAAAGAAATGGGCCACGTGCAAATGTAATATTTGGTTTTTCGGGATGCTTAGAGCACATAGATTGAGTTAAGACCATAAATAGACTATCCCAGAAAGTGGTTCAGTGCCCCTTTAAACTGGAAGAACACCTTACTTGGAAGCTAGGATGGTTGAATAAATTTGGAGGCTCAAGCAACCCCCTTAACAGCACACCTAGGAACCCGGCTGGAGAACCCACGGTTTACGTGGCCACGCCTTCCCCGCAGGAGCCTTGACCTGCGTCGCCACGATGGACGACGGAAGCCTCGTCGCCACGGGCGGAGAAGACGGGAAAGTGATGGTGTGGCACCCGCCGGAGGCGTGACGGATGCCCTCCCCACCGTGTCCGTCGCCGCTCGTGTCGTGCAAAGGGACCGTCGTGTACAGCCCTTGGGTACTTACCGTCCATGCGAGTTGCCAAGATCCCCCGTGCCAAACCAACCAAACTTTGTGGAAAACTTCACGACAGTGCTGGGTTTGGACGTATGCGACGACGGAGGTCCCGAAAGAAACGGTACTCCTCGAGGGAAGAACTTCACAGTTAATATGTGGCCAAGTTCGGATATTTCTTCCGGGAGAATTTTTTTTAGTATCTTATAATGCCCGAAGCGACACATTTTCACTCCCGCAAGTGGGCAGTCGGCAATTCTCGTCAACTATGCCGTGTACGCGAGACGGTTGTTTTAAAGGAAGAGTAACCTGGCATTGTGGTCGTGCAACATGAAGCAAGAGGCTCCAGCGTGCCCAGTTCTTTCTGCATTCCTCCCGAGATTTTTGAAGTCGACACTAATGTCGAGCATTCTTGATTCTAAAGTATGGTTAGGTAAAGGGGACAGGTACCGCGATTATTTGCTCGGAGAAAAAGTTTTAATAGAAAATAATCTACTTTTATATTTATTTTTTTAACTTTTAAGTGGGATAAGGAGTGCCTAATGGGAACCCCTAAGTGAGAATGAAACCTGCGCACATAGGCAGTCCGATTCCAGGTGTAACAAATTGTATGTTTGGAGGCTCACCACATTGTGCTCGGTCCTTCCGAAGAGCTTGGATCCAGATTCTGAAAGGTAGCATTTATTTGCTAGATCATGCAGAAGGTGGACAAATGCTCTGTTCTTTAGCGGTGTACCCTTTTTTTTATTTGTCTACCTTTAACACAAATCATTCCGGGAGGTACAAACGTGAAAGCAGACACTTCGGTGAGAGCTCTGACAATTCTCCCAATCAAAAGACAAAAGGAGAATTCATTTGTTTTGTGTTGCTGTTTGCAAGGTATTTTTCTCAATCAATCGTGCCACGACGTTTGTTTGCACCCGATTTGTCCTGTACTTTTCTCGCAACCGAGCAACAAACTTTTTTTTGTCGTCTTTGCACCACGCATCGACTACGTTCGGCGATGTTTTTGTTTATGCACGCGCCACAAACCAGCATGAATGGTGCAGAGCTTATGCCAGAGGTAGTAGAGCATTCCAGGAGCACCCCATCAATATTAAAGCCCGTTGAGTTTCATCACCACGGACTGCTTTCTAGCCCTCGAAATGCCAATACCTCTCGCTCAGCCACGTTGATTGAATACACGAGGAATGCAGTCAATACTTAGTTTAAAACTGTGTCGTACCATCCATAAAAGTGAATATGCAGCCCAAATGGCGTCTGTCTCAATTTCATTTGCACATTTCGTCGAAAGTGTTTTTGGACACGTCAAAAGTTGGCGAGTACAACCTGGGCAGACAATGCCACTTCCTCCATTTTCGTAGACTGTTGCCGCCGGCCGTATAAAATCTTTGCACGTGGGAAAACGTGTGCGTCTCATTCTTTCTAACTTCAAGCACGCATCAACTGCCGCCACGTTCCGCCAAGAAGTTGCGTATCTGGTGGAGTAGCTCTCGCTTGATGCTGTCCGGAACGGTGGCTGGAACGAGAATGACGTAATGGATTGTTAGGGGCCTATTCACATTTGTGAACATTCACTCTCCAAAAGCCAGTCTGGTTAGTGCGAGTGGCAAATGCTTTGTTGGGGTGTCAGTCTGGCAACTGTGGGCATACCTTGGCATTTGTCTGTCATTTGGGAATGTGGTATTGTGTACGAGGCCACAAATCCAGGCAGGATTAGAGATACAGCAAAGGAGTGTGGGTAGGTTGGCATTGGGGCGCATGGGAATACACCAAATGAAGGAGTGCAGGGGGATATGGGTTGGGCATCTTTCGAGAGTAGAGAAGCGATCAGTAAACTAAAATTTGAACAAAGACTAGCTGAAATTGAGGATACACGGTGGGCAGCAAAAGTGTACAAGTATCTATATATGAAAAGCCTAAACACTAAGTGGACAAACTGAACCTGCAAGCAATTGTGGGAAGAGAGAATGCAGGAGAAATAAGCTTTAGCAATACACAGGGCACAAAAACAAGAAATAAAGAAGGAACAGTTGTATAATAATTCATTGGGGAGCTCATTGCTGATTGAAGCTAACCCGGGGGTGCTAAGAACGAAAACGTGTAGGGCTAAATTCCAGGAAATAGACAGTTCATGTGACATGTGCAAATGCGAGAGGGAAACGATAAAACATGTAATTTTAAGGTGCTTGGAGCTTCGTCCCACCCTCTTGGGGGGAGGGGATGACTATGGATTTGGAGGGGGCACTGGGATTTGTAGACATGGATGGACAAATAGATAGGGAAAGAATTGCAGTAACTAAGAGGAGACTTGAAGGTTGGTGGAAAAGATCTAGGGAGGGGTAAAAATACAGATAAATATAAGCATTGGAAATGCTTTAAAAGAGGGTGGGGGGCAGTTGTGTTGGAACAAATTTTAAAATAGAAGGGATGACGAAACCTTAGGCTAGGTGGCGCAAGCTGCCGCCCGTTACAAGAGGTATAGCCATTACCATCCATCCATACTTGACTATAGAATGATCTACACAGAAGCGAGCGGAGAGGTGGCAATGCCTGGAGGCCGTAGCTTAAAATGTGCGTCGTTGTATGATTTCCGCTATATTCAGTACATAAAATGGACTCTGGGCCCGTTTGCTCGAAGCGCTAACCGCGGCTAAAGTTAGCCGCAGTACCTAGGAGAGGGATTTTGAGATCACGTGACTGGGCACGGTAGGAATGCAAGGTAACATGGCGGTGCCCCAGTGAGTGAGCGCCGCTCGCTTTGGAACTGATATGTCGTTGTAGCTGCAATATCGGGCGCGTTAGTCAGCAACGAATAATGCAGGAGGCTTTCTCTTTGCCTTACCTCACTTAAACCGCAAAGCATGGGCAACGAAATCGCCGCATTTTTTAGATAGTGTTTCGATTCTGGGCATCCCTGAGCCTAAATGAACGCGATAATTGTCGGCATGGCAACGTCTTTGGAAAACGGATTGTTGATAGCACACAAAAGCAGACAGCGTCCCGACAGAATTTTTTTCTAAATTATCCAAGCATCGCGAGGAGAACGCTGGAAGTGTAATTCTACGGTTCACGCGCGCTGGCCTTCCTCTTATAGAAGATTTGAAGTAAAAAATCATAATAAGACTTTAACGAACGCGCGTGCAGGGCAAATTTTGTTTTATACTTTTTGCTTTAGAACGGTTACTACTGCAAACGCCAGCACGCGCGACGCGTGCAACTACAGTCGTAGCATGCACCTCGGTGCTTGGATAATTTAGAAAAAAGGTCTGTTGGGACGCCGTCTGCTTTTGTGTGCTATCAACAATCCGCTTTCCAAAGACGTTGCTATGCCGACAACTATCGCGTTCATTTAGGCTTAGGAGTGCCAAGAATCGAAACACTATCTAAAAAATGCGGCGATGTCATTGCCTATGCTTTGCGGTTTAAGTGAGGCAAGGCAAAGCGAAAGTCTCCTGCAGCATTCGTTGCTGACTAACGCGCCCGATATTGCAACCACAACGACATATTAGTTCCAAAGCGAGCGGCGCTCACTCACTGGGGCACCGCCATGTTTCCCCGCATCCCTACCGAGCCAGTCACGTGATCTCAAAATCCCTTTCCTAGGTACTGCGGCTAACTTTAGCCGCGGTTAGTGCTTCGAGCAAACGGGCCCTGATGTCCGTTTCATTTAGTGGCCGAAGTAAAGAAGGTCTATCTACAGTGTTTCAGGGTGGCTAAGGGTGGCTAAGCGGACTTGAGGCCAGAGCTTCACCAGTACATCCAGAACTACGCTCGTCTTCGCTTTCTTTTTTTCCGAGCCCCCTCTTTTTGTTCTCTCTTTATTCGGGAGGGTTTCTTCAACGCAGCCTTTCAACATGTTCTTCGTGTCACTTCATAGTCCATGGGCGACATTCCAGTAAGAAAGGCTCTTTAGTCCATGGGCGACATTCCAGTGAGAAAGGCTCTTATCTTTTCATATATACTTTTGACCACATAATGAGACTGCTGAAGTTGTGTTTTGACTAATTGTTTACCACTCAAACAGCAGGAGGCCAAATTTAGTGATTGAGGTTGTCTTTAGGAAAGATGGCTGGCTGTCCGCTGCTGGCACGCATCCAGCAGACACTGTCAGGTCTGTTAAGACGAATACCAGCCACGAAGAAACGTTTGGAAATAAACAGACAAAAGGACAAGCGTAGTCGTTCGGTTACCCGTAAGCCCACCTTGCTCACACCGAGCGAAAACGGATAGCAGTATCATTGGACACAGCAAGCGGGGAATGAGCATTTGGTGATGCATAGAATATTTTTTTTTGGGGGGGGGGGCTCCCACTGTAGTTCCTTTGGCTCCAGCATCACCAGAGCATTGTTACACAGGACAAAATCCAGTCTTCACCTGAGCTACCAGCTGCTCCTGTTAAGGAGCATTCACACGGAAAAAATGTGCATTTTGGTTGACGTCGACAAACACGCTAACTTTTTTCTCTGTGAATGCGCCTTTAGACCATAAGGTTTGATGGAAGGAAGCATGCAATGGAGCCTGTGAATAGGGCATCTTCACTGACATAATTTCGTCCATCATTTTGTTGTCGTGAGCTGTCTGGCACGAGCTGAAGGCAAGTATTCCGAAGATTCACATGATGCCCTTAAATCGGTAGTGCACAAAAGCTGAAGTTTCAATGCACCTCCTATCTTTGTTTATTCTAATAAATAAAACATTTTCTCTCACTCGCTCACCCTAAGAACAAAATGGCAGATTGATGTTATGTGTGAACACCCTATTGATTGAACTTGTAACAGTGCTCACTGACCGACCGAAGGGCAATGCAAGTTAAGTGCGCCATTTCAAGTCGAGGATGTGCCTTGAAGAGACCACAAACTAAAGGACACTGTCTGGGCTTTGTCTTGCCACTGAATAGCATAATGTGCCAAATGGACCTTTCCAGATAAGATGTAGCACCCCCCCCATCCACTGGAGGCACTGTGACGTTCCGATGTACAGCACGTGAAATTATTCAGGAATCGAAGACAAAGTTGACGTCTGTTTAACACTGTGACTTCATAACTTGGAGGTGGGAGAAAAAAAGCAGAACAGGGTATGTGATCACCTTTTGTGTTCAACTTTATTTTTTTAGCATTCTGATTTCCTAATCATAAAAGGAGATGAATCGTGCCACTTCCAAGCTATATAAAGTGCTTGGGTCCGCACCGGGCGTACATCTAAACATCCCCACAATTCGCCTCTCTGCAATGTCTCCTGGAAAACTTGGATTGAGCGCGTTTCAGGGCCGTAACCAGGGGGTTAGGGGGTTCTGAACCCCCCCCCCCCAAAATTTTTTTCTGGGTATGGCCCTGGTCGGTGCACTTGCAGCCAGCCGATTTTAATCTCCACCTCTGCGCACGCGCAGTGGCGCCGGTCGGCTACCGGGTACCAAACCGGGACCGGTTCTCCAGTTTGCTGTAACTCTCCATTATATGCCACCGATGCACATGATTCATAGGCGAAAATAAGACAATAGACACTTTTAAAATGGCCGCCGTTGTCCCCGAAACCCCCTCCCTCCCCCCCCTCCCCCCCCCCCCCCCCCGAAATTTTTTTCTGGGTACGGCCCTGGCGCGTTGGTAATAGATTCAAGAATACGAAAGAGTTAGACAAAAAGGATGGACAGGACAAACATCTGTCCTGTCCGTCCTTTTTGTCTAACTCTTTTGTATTCTTGAATCTCCTGGAAGTTTCCAGAAAGGCATATTGCCCATCAACCCATCAATGATTATATCAGGAATCTACCCGTTTTTTTTAGGTTGTATGGCAAAGCATTGGTTATGCGTTACTCTACTAGACCTGCCTACGGAGGTTTCCCCAAATACTTTCGCAACCTCTACGAACATCGGTTGAAAGGTTATTCTAGGGTGAACAATTCCATCGCCGAGAGGTCGACACGCCAGGGGACCGCTGGTTCAGTTGCGACGCCGGCAGTTGTCTTGCCGAATTCGAAAGGCATGCTCCTCGCTTGCTGTCAGGGAAAAGCGCCCAGCGTCCGAAGCAACGTCCCCCTAGCCGCACGTGTCGACCAAACGATAAGCTCACCCCTGCCCTGCGGCGTCACCGCAGCAATCAGGTCGTCCACGGTTAGGTTCTCCACTCCCTTGTCCTTGATGATCTCTTTGCAGTGCGCCTTCAGCTGGTCCTTCCATCCGCACTCGATCAGCCTGGTCCGTAGAAGTTCTTTGAGCCTGCGGGGCGGCACAGAGCAGCTGAATGCGCGAACCCCTCCGGCGGCATCGGCCGCTTACCGATCGCGCTCCCCGCTCTCGACGAGCTTTTGGTTGATGGCGGCCTTGATCTGCTGCTCCTTCTGCCTGCGTTCGTGGGGCCTGCGAGGGGCAACAGAGGGCTCGCAGCGTAAGGTCTCAAGCTCGACTTCCTGGGCCCTGCAAAAGAGCAGGCTGCGGTCGGAGATGTTGCTCGTCTAGCACTCACTCGGCCATGTTTGTCGCGGTCTTTTTTCAGAAGTGTTGCTACAGCCGAGCAAAGGTCAGTATCATTTTCCGATACGTGGACAGGTTCATAAAAACATCGCAGCCTGCCTTAGCCAGACTTCAGCCTCGGGCCTCAGCCCACCATCAAAAACGTCGCGTGGGTCTACCGGTCTACCGTGGACCTGCTGCTGCTGCTGCTGTGGACGTAGCTGCCGTAGCCGTACCAGCCGTTGACTAGCCGCGCTGTCGCCACTTGCAGTTTGCTCAGCTGAGGATTTGGCACAGTGCTCCACATTCAATTCAGGTGGCGCGCATAGTTACCCAATTCGTACTTGTTGTTTAATGCGTGTGATCTATCTATATAATAGAAAAGCGAGCAAAACGGAAAAACTTTTCGCTTTTCCTTCTCGCATATGGCGCACGTCGTCCAAGTGAGACGGTTGTTAATTGTAATCGCTCTTTCAGAAAGGCGATTATTTTGGATTTCCTCGAGTCGACCGTAAAGATGCATCTGCGAATACCGTCGAACATCTTCACCTTTCGTGTTTCTCCGGCGGGCAATGCGGCCTGGGCACTGGGTCATCGATAGTGCGGGAAAGACCCTTATATAGGCTGCAGCCCGCTACCGGCACTGCCATGGGTTGTCCTCTTTAAAAACACACCTGGGACAGATCCAAGTACGTACCCGCATCCCGAGCTGTTTCCCTGTCGCTCGCTAGCCTCAACGCCCGACTTTTTCGAGGCCAATCTCGCAAAACTGCGTCACACGCTGAACGCGACTTCATTGCGTTGGAAAGAGCGAACCGATGGGTTTGGCCGAGAAACTTGGCAGTCTCTGAGTTCGGGTCCCCAGCACGTGGCTGTCGAGATCACCTTCACCTTTCCCAACGCTAATTTGGCGACGAGGATGGCCTTGGAACCCACGCGGTTGAAAGCCTCTCCTTCAGTTGACCCACCTCTAACGCGCGCGCGGGCCTACCTCCGATAACGCTTCCGCGTCTTTTGAGCCTCGAGCACACACGCGCGGTCGAAGCACGGCGGAAGGCGACGAGCTTGTGCTGGACGCCGGACACCCGAAATCCGCGCCCTCCCATTTTTATCCTGTGCACGACTAGCAACAGCGCATTTCGGACCATGGTAGTTGTAATAGATAGTGATGGCAAGATAGAGTAGAAATGGTACATCTGCATATGAAGGTTGCCCCTCAGGAGAGAAGTGCATATCTGTGTCACTTTAGAAGCCATTTCGATCTCTGTGTTATAGCCGGGCCCTACTGTCTTCAGGGATGGCCTCGACCAAGCTGCCGGAGCAGAAGGTGATCCTGTGCGGCGAGTATGGCGTGGGCAAGAGCTCTCTCTTCCGGAGGTTCACCACAAACTCCTTTGTGGCGAGCAGCGACCGCAGCTCCACGCTGGGCCTCGACCATTACGACAAGGTTTACAAGGTGGCCGGCAGGGACCTCAAGGTAGCCCCCCCCGGAGTAAATTCAGAGTCTGTTTTGTGGTTGCAACGCAAAAACTGTAAATGGACTTAACCCTTGAGTGAGTGAGCAGTCTTTGCCAACTTCCAGTTCGTTAGAACATTTTGCTTCACAACTGAAAGACGATGGCGATGAGACGCAGATGCGAGCGCGGCAAGAGTTGCAAACTTCTATCCTACACTTGCTGGAGCACATGCCCAGCAAGAGTGCCATTTTTGAACGGCGTAGCAGAAGGAACCAAAAGAGCAAAATGGTGGCAGATTCGCCAAACGCTGCTCACCTTTTGCCTGGGAGAAATGGTGTTGCAATGCCAAGCAATGCGAACAGAAAATATTTCTGACCTTGGTCAGCGCACTCTTTGTTTCAACGTGTTAGCCCATCAAACAAAGAAAAAGCGCCTAATATCCAATATGCCCCGGTGCTTCGAGCATTTAGTGGGGCTGTGCTTTCATGACCAACAGCTCTTTTGTAGTTCTCGCGTTGCAACAGCCTACAGCAGCAGAGAATTCCACCTGCCACCTGGCATAGCAGCAGAGTTATGCGCCAAGAAACTGAGGGAGACAAGGAGGCAAGAGTGCGCGGGGACGTCGGAACGCCGAGCTCCGGTTGGAATGATTAGTGGGTAGACCTAAAGCTAGCTGTTTTTGCCTCCACTGCACTCGTTCACCGAGTTAGAACGCCATCGTTCGGCGTTTGGTTTTTGCATTCGAATATGTGTAGTGTAGACAAAGGCGGCTAGCTTTAGGTCTACCTACTCATCATTCCAACCAGAGCTTGGTGTTAAAATCAACTAGTGGGCTAGTTGATTAAACATGGTGTGAAAAAGCACGAATGACTAGGAAGCGCTCTGTCCTTCTCTTCCTAATCATTTGCACTTTTTCACACAAGAGCTTGGCATTCCAACGTCCTTGCGCTCTGTCGTCTCCTCCTCTCAGTTTCTCGGCACATAGAAGTGCTATATTATTTAGATGCTTCCCGTCTAGAAACCCCACAAATTTCTACCGTAGCTGTCATTGATGTCTGGGGAAGGGGGTGGAGGGGTGGATTGGAATGGAATCAAAACATTAAAGAAAACCAACTTGTAGATTTTTTTTTTTTATGACTTGTAACAGTTTAGGCGCATATTCTGTATGTGGCCAGAAAGCATTCCGGTACAATTAGTAGTTATATACAAAATTAGACATTTTTCAATTTTTTTTTTATTGATTCTGTTTTTTGATGTTGGACAAAATAAATTAGAATTTATCGGGGTTTATGTTGGAGAAAATAGGACATGGGGATGGGATTCCCCAAGCTTCAGGGAATATGTGCACGACCTTAATACTTGGAAAACTTCTTGGTACCAATAAGAGAAGGAAACGAGATTGGAGGTGCGGTTCGAAAGAAACAGCCTCGCAGTCAGTTTGGTGTTCTGGGTTTATAAAGATTTCCTCCCTCCGAAGCTTGTGTTTTGTTTATTCAAGGACAGCTCCAATCTAACAATTTTTGGTTTTCTCGAATTTAAGGAAAAAAAACGTATTGGGGGTTATTGTACAGGGTTTATCAATATCTACCAAAAACACAGAACCCTAGTTACAGGCTACTGCGATAGGTAACGCCACCACCCCGCAGCATCACCAGTTGTCGCTATCGGTGTGTGCTTGCATAGTCTCGGAGTGTGGCTCTCTGTACGTGGCTTTGCTATCATACTGGCAAGTACTACAAGGTCGGTCACTGTGCAGAATATAGGGTGTTAACTATACTGGAGCTCGCTTGAAGTTTATCCGGAAAAATTGTCACCTGCACGTAACTCAAACTTTCGTCGCAGGTGGTAGTGTTCTTCCTTTAAAAATTGAGATGAAAACACCCCTGACACGGTCAATGGCAGATGCCAACACAAATGACAGAGTTCACCGAGGGTTTTGCTCCTCGCACAATATCCCGATAAATGCAGCGAGCAGACGATGGCATTGTTTACTTTCAACAAAGTGTGTCGTCTGCTTGCAGCACATTTTAGAAGGTGGCGCCACAGGCACACGCCTTGCTGACTCGGTCATCTGTGTCAACATCCACGGTTGGTTGTATCGGGAGTGTTGGTCTTATTTTTCGCAGGAAGGCAGCTGCTCTTCCGAATTCCACGAGGTAATGTCTACCACTAAAATACACCTCCAATTAAAATTTCAGATTGCTGTGTGTAGGTGCAGATTTTTCTGGCCGGTTTGAGAGCGAGCTCCAGTATTGATAACACCGTGTACTTGATGGACACACCAGCGATCTTGGCAGTGGTTTGCAAAGAGCGGCGCTCTGGTTGCAGCTGCAGCTGTGGGACACGGGGGGCATGGAGCGGGTGGCCTCCATCACGTCCAGCTACTACAAGTTTGCTGAAGCGGCCGTGCTGGTGTTCAGCTTCGACAATCCAGACTCCTTCAACATCCTCTCTCAGCACCTGCTGGACATTGTGAGCTATGCCGAGAACGCAAAGATCTTCCTGTGCGGCAACAAGGTGGACCTGGCCGGCCGCATCTACGTCTCGGAGCAGGACATCGAGGCCTTCTGCGAGCAGTGCCACAACCTCATCAGTGGCGTCTACCGCACCTCCTGCAAGACGGGGCAGGGTGTCGAGGAGATGTTCACAGACATTGCCCGCCAGCTGGTCATGTCCTGCCGTGTCAAGGACATGGATGACGTGGCTAAGGACTCCTTCAAGGTCACCCAGCAGGAGGACGTCCAGGAGTCGTGTAGTTGCTAGGCCTGAAGGGGTTGCCCCCGCTCGAAGCATCGTGGCAGGCGGGTGTCCGTGTCGTTGCAGATGGGTATCTTGAGCCCGTTGCAGACTGAAGTCTCCATGCCATTGCAGGCGAAGTCTGTAATTGCAGACGGGTGTCTGCGCCATTGGAGACGAGTGTTTATGCCGACCGAGCATTGCACGTTTGTAACCTTAAAAAGGTGTTGCTTTTTTCTTCTTTTTTTTTTTAAGAAAACATTAAGACCACTATTAATCTCACATAGTTAAATGACGTAGTTGCATTTAAGGGTTAAATCCTAGAAAATAATTTTTTTTTAATAACAATTTGAAAGTAATTATAACGAGGACTGTGTGTAATCCTCGATATACTTACGAGGGCTCCTGCTTTTTTCTAAAGAAAACATTTAGAGAAGTTGTTACCAATTTTACATATAGGTAGTTCAATATTATAGTTCCCTCTGAGGATTAAAATAAAATGATTTTGGGAAGTTTATCAGTCAAGTAGAGAATTAGGAAGTGCAATTATAACGAGGACCACCGTATATGGTGCTCGGTATAATCGTAACAAGGGCTAATTTTTTTATGTTTTCAGTCTTTACATACTTTGTTTGTAACTGTTCCGAGCAGCGTTCCTCACTTGCACAGCTGTGGGCACGTGAGGAAGCAGCACAAGAACACAAATAATAAAGCAAGAAAACACTAGGCAATTTTTAAAGCTGCACATATTCTACTTAGTGATGCAGCTATAAGGCAGCATGTTGCCTCTAATGTGCCAGAGGTGTGGGAAGTGTGTCACTGCATCGTGCTTTCATTTCTTTGTATGTTTGCCATCTTATCATTGCTCTCCCTACAGCCTGCCTAGCCTTCCAACTACTGTGCAGCTCATAGTTTTATGGACTACTGCATAGAGCGGCGCAGTGAAATCTGCACGTGGCACAATTGCTGCGAACGGCCCTCCGAACTCTCTTCCCTTTTGCATTCATTCAACGTTGAGTGAGCTACGGGTCCAGCAACAGTGTGATGGTCACACTTGTGACCAGTGAGGAAGTTGTGATAGAAAGCGGAAGTGCCAAACTCGCCAGTGAAAGGCAGCACCTTTATTCGTTGCTTGGAAGACTGCCCCTCTCTGGAAGACTGCACAAAGACGATGTCTTGGCAGAACTGAGAGAACATTCGAGGCGTGCCTCTGAGGGCAGCTCTGTGACACATTGTGTGTTCTACAGCCTGGCTCATGGCCAAAGTAGTGTGTTGTTTTCATTTTGCTAATAAAGCTTTACAGAGCATCGCTGAATCCAGTCTTTTGCAAAATCCTTCGGAAACACTTGGTGGCTCTACTTATGTTGTTTGTGGACAACTGGTCATCATTGTAGGCTGCTTGTAGCTATGATGCATGCTTCGCAGCATAGCTACAAAAACGCGCAAATACAAATGGGACGCGTGTCCCCATAATCTCGCAAACGTAAATAGAGCCGCACATGCAGGTCTGGGTACGTGGCGAAGAATGTTGCCCTCCCAGAAGTTAGTGCGGTAAGAAATCGACCTGATTGAGACATTCCTTGATAACATTGTATATTCATATTGCAGTGCAAAAGCTGTTTGACAGTGTTCTCATACTGCAGCACAAAAGTTTGATGTTCAGGACCCTATGTACAATTTTCACATGTAGCTCCTTTCAAAAGCCAGAAAGAAGTGGCAATATTCCATGGGGCACAACGCGAGTCTAATATCCAGGAGGTGTCTTCTATGTGGCGAGCACTACACCCCTGGTGGCGATTTGCGGTACTGGTCGGCGAAATCCTTGACCTTGCGCCAGAGCTCTTGTGGTTCATCGACCCTTGGAACCTGGGGAGTGGAGACAGGGTATCACTCGTGTTGCACAGGCAAATTCTAACGGGCATCATAATTTCAGTCGAAAAATCTGCACCTGGTGAACTGAAATTCCTCTTGAAATTCTATTTCACTGATTGGTTTTAGTGTCTCGTCGAATTTCAAAGCCTGGCTTTGAAAGATTAGAATGAAACTTCAAATGGTCGGGCTTCGCAGATGGCCGGTGGAACCCAGGTGGACCATGCCTACCAAATCACTTCTTTCAAATTTTGATTAAATTCCACGACCATTACAAAAGGAGGGGAATCTGAATCTAGACATGAATCCAGGTTTGTCCAGCTTAGATTAAAGGAGCACTTCTTTAATGGCAACAGTGTCATTCGCATATTTTCGCTTTGAAAGTACAGCTGCAGAAAACTCTACATAAAAACAATCACACATGAATTTCCTGAAGGTTCGAAACCAGTGTTGGTCCGACAAACCAATATTCAGTAGGCGGGGAATGTGTATCGTGCTTGCTAGATAGAGGATAGAGTTACAATATCCCGAGTCATCGGGATATTACCCCAGATTCATAAAAAAAAAGTGGGGTGGGCTATGTCACGGTGGGTAAGCACAAAAAGAAAAGAAAAACAAAAAAAAGTGTCCTTTTTTTGTGCGTATCTAGCGCGGCTGCAGAGGAGATACATTAAACTCAAAACTCGAATTAGTTTTCTTGTTTTATATAAAAAATGCTCATGAAAAAATGTTTTACTATTGTGAAACTCAGTTGCTTGCATACGCGCCATGAAACCGTAGATCGGCATACAGCGCAAAAGTTTGTTCTGTGAAAGCACATTACACCGCTATGCTCTCCTCATTAGTTAAAAAAAAATGTCCACAAGAAATCAGAAAAACTAACCAGGCGCAACGAGCGAGCGAGCGGACCAAGGAAGCGACGAAGAGCGATGCTGGGAAAGCAGGAGATCAGGCGATCGCGTTGGCAAATACTTTGGCGTCGGGCAACTTGTCAATGCAAGCTCATGCGCAACTTCCTTGTTTGGTGCATACATACGTGCGTTCGTGCACGGCATGCTATCAACGACAAACTTTCATTCTGTTACATCCATCGTTCTCTTTTCGCACGGATACACTACGACTTCGAGGTTGCTCGCGGAGGAAATGCGTAAACAAAGAGAAGTGTCTTTCTCTTTTTCGTTTTACTTTGTCAGGACGGACGTCCTCCAACTGTAATGTCTGCGGCCGTGTCATTCAAGTAGAGTGAATGTTCGCGGAGTCAGTGTTGGGGTATTTGAAAGGGTGGGCGATGACTCAGTGCTTATTTTCAAAATCGATATTGGCCAAAAAGGGGGGTGGGTGATGACTCAGGATATTACGGTAATCAAATTACTGAAGATGCCCCATTTTAACTGGATCCGGATTTAGCGAATTTTACTAGGTGTGGGCTTTGGGAAAGTTTAGCAGGCACAAAATTTCACAACTGAAAGCGGCATGCCGTGCATTCGTTACCTTTGAGTAATATATTTGTGTCGTCTATCTTTAGCAATGTTTTTACAAAAGTACAGTAATAGCTTGCACCGCATAGCGACGTTTCAGACAAAAGTAACTCGGTGCGACAGAAATGTCTTGATTTGAAGATGTTTCCACCACCATCTAAGCCACTGCTCGCAACGCCCTCGTGCTTCATTGTGCATCAGTGCAACTTTCTTGTCTGTCATTCTCCCAAACTTGGTCAACTTTATGCCGTTTTCCCTGACAATTTCTTAATTTTCGAGACGCTTTGATATTTCCTGAGAATCCCAGGCTTTTCAGGTTGGTAGACAGTCTGCATCACATGTCGTCTCAATTGTTATTCACAAAAGCACTCTCGGAAAATAGCTCAGGCAATGTTGGCAAAGTCCAATCACGATGTTGGGTGCCACCTATGAGTATCTGGCGTCTGTCTTAAAAGTAAGATAATTATCATTATAGTAACGCTCAAACCAACAAACTTTGTCGGCACCATTCCGGCCAGATTTTGCAGATATCTTCTGCTCGGTACACCAACAAGACGAAGTTGTGCAGGTGGCCCATGCTGCAAATAACTGTTGCATGCACAGCCACCGTTCATCCTTGTCTTGGCCTGCAATCTAATAACTCTACAATTGAGTTTTGTTTTTAAATGGCACGTCATAAAATCATAGACTTTAGATGTCTCTTGTCCAGCATCTCTGCCGACTTCTGCCGTAGTAATCTTTTCCGTGACAGGTATTCACTCTCTCGAAACCCTGGACAAGCTGTAGACTTTTAGAATGTTTGTTGGCATTTCGAGGCAGGTATGGATACCTCTAGCTTTCGTGGATTCCTCGCCCAATAAGACTGGTTTCATGCTGGCTCCAGCAGCATGCCTCTTAGTCCAGTTTGCCTCTAGTTAAGGAAGGAAGTTAAGTCTAGTTGAAGAAAGGTTTATCTAACAAGGTGAAGGCACGCTTCCAGCCACTTGCTGTACAACTAGCTCATTAAGTTTACAATCAACAAACATTTCAACATGATATCTGGCTAGATATGTGTGCAAGCTTTCAGATGGGGCCGGCAGAACGGTTGGTTTTATTGACTTTTGTGGGGTTTTTCAGAATTGTACTGTACCTGGTAATTCTGTGAGATGTACACCCCTGCATAAACGCCTGCACCGAAGGAAACCTGAGGAAGACAAACAAATAGAGGATGCATTTACTGTTTCAGCAGCAAGTGCTGGCAAAGCTAGTACCAGCAGTATCCTCCCATAGCTACCAGTAGTACCATGAAATAAAAACCAAAAAATACAAATTAGGTGACTATTGCGATAGGACAGAACGACGGCACGGAGTTCACCCTCTACCAACCAAATGGCATTATGTAGTGAGTCTAGTCCTTTTGGTACAGCCCATAGTATATTGCTCACCAAACTTATTCGGAACATGTGAAGGGCATCTTATCTGACGGGAGCGCAATCCTGGCAGCAGCCAAGGAACTGCTCCATGGCATAGCGCTCAATAGAACAGTCCGATCAGGAGAGGTCACTCGCTGGACCACCGCAGCAATTTTGATGGCTGGCCAATCTATACTTGTCACCACCTTTTCACACAAATAAGCATAGAAGGTGACTGCCGAAAAAGTCAGTGATTGGATAATTCAATCAATAAGCATTTGATGTTTCTGCTGAATGAGTGAAAAGACAAACATCACCTCACAGGCAAAATTTCTGTGTTGTCCCTGGTCCAGCAGCGATTTCGGCCTTGAGCAAGCAGCCTCTCCTCCTCAGACTGTTCTAGTGAGTGTTGCGTCAAGAAACAGTTCTTTGACTGCCGCCAGGATAGTGCTCCCATCACGTAACACGCCGTTTTCGTGTTCTGGATAAGTTTGGTGAGCACTGTACATTGTGCTGGCTATGAACCAGTAACAATGGCTCCAGAAAATATGGTCCTATGTGCCACGTAAGAAGCAATGGTCCCGAAGAGACCTCCAACATGGTTGTTCCTATTCTGGTAGCCTTCATACTTCAGTTACCCTGACTCACGTCCTTCCTAGAAAGTCAGTCTGGCTTATTAAGTCTCCTGCATTTTTAAATGAAAGGAGAATAAAGTAAAGGATTTTTAGGTAAATCAGGAACCAGATGTCACTTAGTTGACGGAGTTTGTACCCTTTAGACAAGAGCATTTGTTTGCACCGTGCCTCTGTCGACAAGGTTAATACCCTTTAAACTGCAGTTATTGTTTGTATCAGAATACAGATACGGTTCCATGAGCTGGGCCGTTTTCTCGTCAAGTCAAGCAATAGAAGTTAACTTCCCTTTTAAGTTAATTGTTGCAAAATGTTAGTGTTTCATTATACCAATTTACAAAGCTTTTATTCGTTTACGATCAACGACTTTCAGCAATGATTTGCCCTGTATAGTTGATCTTATTGCTATTTGAAAGGCTGATATCAACAATGCCAACATATTTATTCACTGATACTTACAACAGCTGAATTTATATTTAGAAAAATAGATGCCTCAAAATGCAGCAAGGGAGGCTGAAAGTTGTACAAAGGTAGCTATTTGTGCACAAAAAAGAGCTGGCTTTGGATGTCGCTAGAACCGTGCCACATACAATCACGGCTCGAAAAGAGCTTTAATCGTCGACAGTGTGACGCAAGACTACAATCAAAGTGCTCTGCCTAACTATCACACAGACAACACTCCAATTAATCTGGGCAAGACGTAAACCACAACGAAAAAAATTGCCCTCGTTTCAAATTGCCAGCAGTTCAAAACTTGCAACATCTGTTGCCACACGTGCTGCAAAAAATTTCAGTGAAAAAAAAAAAAAAAAGTACATGTGTGATGAACAAGGAACAGAGCCTGGAGTGGTGCCTCCAACAACAGTGGGATTTAGCATGTCCCGCAAACCCTGTCCACCTCAGAGACCATGTCGTTGAGCCGCCCCAGACACTGACTATGGGCAT